ATATGAATAAATAATCATATTACTGAATAATCAGTTCGAAAATTATTCCATTTTCATTTTACCGATTTAATTGTATTATTGAAATACTGCTGTCAATTTGCTTGCAAAATAATATTGCTGTTGTAATAATGCAGCAATAAATTATGAGCATTGATTGTATCGTTGATTTCACTCAAAGAGCTACATTTTATTGAATTCTACTGATTCTACAAATTGTGCAATGTTTGCTAACATGACAAGTATTTGTTTATGTCTGAAGTTTTACAATTCGTTCCTATTTTCTCAACTAAATCATAAGTGCGAAAAGAAAAGGAGAAAATAATAATTCTACATGTATAAATATTGTATACACGTATATATGTTTACGTGTTTTCACTTACGTAAACATACATGAATAACAATTTTAAAAAAATAATATACAGCAAAATATTTTAGTATTACAATAAACATTATTATCATACATTATTTCATTGTTTATTTTTAAACAAAAATAATTTAGTTGCATTCAATTATAAGAATATAGAAAAGAAGCAAAAATTAATTCAAAGAAAATTTGTTTTACTTTGTTTATTCATTCCATTCACATAATGTTATTGCTTCCTAACACAAACAAAACATTTTCAATTGATAAATAAACAAATGATTCATAGATTACAATGAATCATTTATTATTTAGTAAAGTTTGACTAACTTTCAATCTTTGCTAATTGATCGGCTAAATAGTTCGCCATTTCTTGCGCCACTAATATATCGCCATGAAAGATCTGAAGGAGACAGTTTTTAATTTTCAGCAATAACATGAAAAAATAATAAATTGAAGAGAAAATATGAAATGAATTAAAATTTCGTAGAATTAAAATACATTGGGAATGACAATATTGCTAACTGAGAAAGAAGTAAATCTTACAATAAAATTTTTTCCAGTTTTTCTTTTGTATTTTAGTGAATTCAACAAAGAGGTACCAACAATACCATAGCGATTATTCATACGGATAATGCCACGGGTATCATTTGATTTCAACAATTTAAAATTCAAAGAAATTTCTTTTTTTTTTTTTGTTGTCAGTTCTATTTCTTACCTAACCAATATTTGAAATATTTTCACATTCCATGCATTTCAATTCTATCAAATTCTCATTAAAAACTTTAAGAAACAAAAGAAACAAACATTTACCTGATCAAACTCATCTCTTAGTTCCACCGCCTCATCATCATCATCATTTGTAGCACTCTCCAAAAGTCGATTTATCTCATCGAGATTTAAAAACTGATTTCGTAACAATGATGCTATATTATTACTTTCTGGAATACCGGATTCTGTTTGCTTATTACATAAAGGTTATATTAATGCATCTATTGGGCTAAATGTTAAATTGCTAGCGATAATAAATTATCATTTAGAGCAACATTATGATGTGAATCCACATAGCTTATAGTTTCAACTATTGGATCTGAAATTTTATTTTTATTTTTATTTAAAATTTTAATTTATCATTGATTGAAGTATCACGTGATTAACTGTTTGCGTTGTAACTATTTGTTATTGTGCTACCATTAAATGGTATATATTAATTGTTGTCGTAATAAAATATTAATTATTCATATTCCACGTATAACTGTCACGTATTCGAACAGTTTTCAAAACAAATATTCATAAAATTTTTTATGATCATTTAAGAGAAAATTGTTGCATTCATGAAAAGAAATGAGAATACAAAATCAATTTCGAGATTTTGTAAGTGTAAAAATAACTTTTTGTAATTTGAAATTTAATATTTGGTTGTTTGAAATATTATGCTAATAATATTATGCATCGCTTTATTGTCCCAAGATTTATTATCATATGATGATTATTACTTATCACTATTATTACTAATTATTATTTATATATAATATTGTTTTTGATGTAAAAATTTATATCAGCAGGCAAATCGGAACCATTATCAGTTATTGTTTCTTGCGATTCGCTTGAATTTCTCGGTCTTGATACCGCCTGAGATGAAAATGGATATTGAAAATAAAGGTTTAAAAAAAATTTAAATCATTTTTTTTTCAATTTTACATATCAACGTTAAATGAAATAACTTAAATCATAAGTTATACATCATATTGACTAAGAGACATCAGAAGTAATGATTTTATGAGAAATTTTAAGGAGTAAGATTTAATAAGGCAGTTTGCGTTGCACAATATACACTTCTTATACATTAATATATGCAGGATAACTTACAATTATCGATGAAGTGTTAGTTTCTGAAAGTGAATTATCATTTCCTTCGTCATCGATGAATACCTCATCATCACGACTATCTGTATTTGGGAAAAAGTAAAAATTCACATAAGACTTTATAAATTAAATGAAACAAATTATAACTTCCATCGAGAATAAAAGAGAGAGAGAGAGAGAAAGTGAAAACAAAGAAATATTAAAAAAAGGTTTAATCAATTTTAAACATGAAATATTCAGTTCTTGTTTTAAAAAAACTTTTTAACTAATTCTGATGATCTAAATTTATTTAAGTGAAAATCGACAAACAAACCTTCCGGAACTATCTCCCGCAATTCATTGATATTAGTTATGACAGTTGGTGCATTAACTCTATCATTTAGTACGGCCGCAGTACTACTATGATTTGATGATGCAGCAACTTCTGGCGGTAATACTTGAATATGATCTTCTGAAGAAAGTGATTGCGGTAATTGCGTGGATAATTCTTGACGCAGCGATGATGATTGTTGGCTTGACTGTACAAATGATTCTCGAATTAATTGTGTAGATGATTCTTGATGTGATTGTATAAATGATCTTAGATGTAACTGTCTATTTGATTGCATTGATGATGCTTGATCTGATGGCCTGTATGGGCATTGTTGAATGACTCTCATAAAGTGTTCCAGAGGCAAGCTAAAAAGCGATACGTCTGGTATTTCAAGCGGACGCTGAACCGTTTCCGATGACTGCTGACGCGGTTGTGATTGTGATACTGATGCATGTGAAATTCCCGAAGGTACTCCCACTGATTCGCGATTAATAAGCTGTGTACGTGGAACTGTTTGCGCTTGTAGTTGTTGATTCATTTGTTGCTGATTTGACTGCTGTTGAGTCATTTGTGTAACTTGAGCGGGTAACGAAGTACTTTCTGAGCTTCCTGAATTTGTTTCCCTTGATTCTAGCATCGATTGCCGAGAAATTTGCCGGAGCATTTGTTGAAAGATTCGAGAAGCTGATTCTTCAAATGAGGTAGAACGTTGGTTAGATTGTATCTGCTGCACAATTTGGGCAGATTCCTGAGGTAACCCTAACAAAAACGAAGGCGTTGTCTGATTTGATTGCTGGAATACCTGAGTTGATTGCTGTACGAGAGGTTGCTGAAGCGATTGCACTGGTTGTTGAGGTACCTGTAAGAGTGGATGCTGATTCTGTTGTGGATATGATTGTTGCGGTATAGCTGAAGATTGTTGAAGAACTTGAACGAATAATGGTTGTGTTTGTTGAAACGGTTGTTGCAGTGATAATATCGGTATTTGTTGTGATAACTGTGGAAGTGAGTGTTGAATCCCCTGAATATGTTGCTGTTGAGATTGAGATCCGTTTAAAGATTGCTGTGATTGCAAGTGTTGATTTGTCTGCTGAGATAATTCGGTGAGTAAATGATTACCTTGTGGATTCTGTTGTTGAACATTTTGCACCGACTGTTGAGATGGTTGTAGAAATAATGATTCAGCTCTTTGCAGGTGTGATTGTTGAGATTCTATCGAAGATTCCAAAGGTGGTATATTCGAATTTGCTTGTAATTGAGGAACTTGCAAAAACATCTGAGGATTGGCGTTTCCGGGATTTACCACATATAGTTGCTGCAGTGGTACCTGCAGAAACAATTGTCCTGCATGTGCCTGCTGAGAAACTCCGAAAGATTGTTGATTAGTTTGTACAGGTAATTGTATGACATATTGATTTCCATCAGAATACCTTTGCTGAGATGCTTGCATCCTTTGTTGAGTTTGTTGAAAAATTGGCGGTAAATGTGGCTGCTGAATGGATGTTGATGATGATGATGATGATGATGATGATGAGGATGGTACAAGTAATTCGTGAACTCCCTCTGTAAGCACATCTTCCATTGTCTCTCGATATACAGCTGGATTCGAGAATCTAGCTGTTATCAATTCCGCTAACGCGGATGCATTCTGTCCATTGACGAGTCTTATTCGTTGCAACAGTTGTCGGAATGCTTGTTGCTGAGATGCTTGTTCTCGTTGTTCAGTTGTATGGTATGTTCCTCGGGATGGTATTGATGATTGCTCAGACATTTGTTTGCAATCAAGTTATCCGTATTAGTAATCCTGTAATAATCGTACCGGTTATTGCTGAATCGCTTGAACTGTATTTTGCTATAATTGCTTAATTGTAACCAAATTACTGTAACACTGAGATTTCTTCTTAAAATTTTGTAAAAAAATCATCAGAAAAAAAAAACAATTTCAAATGATAATTTTTTCGTGCCTTTACAATTTTCTGACAGTTACGGTTCTTCGATAGTTTTTGTAGACAATTCTGATATAGAAACACAATAAGGAAAATAAGCATTGCTAATTAATTGATAGCATTAAAAAGAATTAAGCTCCAAATAGATAATAGTATTACTGTAAGATAGGCAGAATAAGTGAAAATAGCAATACGCAGAAATTAATAATTTCAGATTTTGTACCTGAAATTACTAAAAAAATATTTTTCAACATCAGATTATAGTGTGAAATTAAAAATGCTGTCTTATTAGTTATCATTCAAAGTTTAAATTTTATATTTTTGCGATTAATTTTTTAAAATTTCTTTGTGTAGAGAATTATAATCGGCTTTATGTATGAATGTTTCTTTTACGAGAAATATATTATTATAGTTTGTATAATAATAGAAATGAATAAGGCAAAGTATTGATAACAGTACGAAACTGGCACGTATCAAAATATGAATATTCAAATTTTATTAATAAATTTAACTTAATTATTTAAATATATTAATAAATTAATAAATTTTATTAATAAATTAATAAATTAATAAATTTTATTAATAAATTTAACTAAAATTTACTAATTAGTAAATTTAGCTAAGAAAGGAAAAAATAAAAGATTAATATCTGTTTGGTTTTTATTTTAATTTTTATTCTACTTGTTCAGATCGATATTTCCTGAACTTCTAGAACAATTGGAATAGTTGTTGACTGGCAACACAATTTTGAAATGTAAATATAATCGATAAGTTTTTAAATTTCGAGTATCTTTACATTTACATTTTGCCAAATGCACTTTTAAGATTTAAATAAACTTATCAACGTAGAATTAAAAAAATTGTACGGACAAATGTAAATATGTGGTTCGGAAATTTTTGAAATTGGAATATCTTCACTTTTTGGATTTAAATAGGTGAAGTAAAATTAAACTGCATGAAATTAAGCAATTAAATTGAGGTCATTCAAAAAATCAATTAACTTAATCATTTCCTATATATAATAAATAAAAGATTTATTAAAGTATTATGCCAAAACTATTCAGACAGCCTCAAATTAATAATTAATTAATAATAATTGTTAAAATAAAAACAATAAAAAAGAATGGGATTTTGAAATGGAAATATTTTCAAATTTTGCAGAATAAAGTGAATATTTCAAGAAATATTTAATAAAGAACAAAAAATTTCTTAGAATTCAATAGTAATAAGAAAAGAAAAAGAAACCAAAAAATTAAAATAAGTATAAAATAAGTGAACACATAAAGATCGAATCATGGTTTTATTGATAAGTCGTAATGGTCAGTTGTAGTCCTTTGAATATTTAAAGCTGAGATGAAGAGGTGATGACCAGATGACTCATTATTGCATGATAACTATTTAAGTTGTGTAATAGTAAAGGAATGGGTTAGAATGAATGTGTCGTCAATAACTTCTCCCTCCAGTTTTTATAGTTGACCCTTATAACTTGACCTGTGCCCTCGTTATCCCCATCATCATCATCATCATCTTTGATCAAACAAATATGGGCTTTTGAGAATAGTAGCAAGTATAAATTATTGAAGTTAAATAAGCAATATACAAACCTTTTGTTATTTCACTAATTTTAGAAATTCCATAAAAATTAAAATTGCAATTAAATAATATATGCGAGGATACTAACACCCTCGATCCTTCTTTTGGGAGAGAAAAGATTCTGAGTATATATTTCAACATATTTTCATCGCTTTCTTTACAGATTAAATTTTCCACGGAAAAAAAAATTACATATTGAAATTTGTTGCCAACTTATATTGATTGAAAAAAGTGAGAAATCTTTGTTAATTTAAATTATTTATAAATTTCATATTTATCTGTTAGTTTTTTCTGCCAATTGTTTGTCGTAACTTTTTATTGAAATAGTGATAATGAATTTAAAAAATCACTTTTAAAAGAGAGAGAGAGAGAGACGGGAAAAAAAGAGACAAAAAGGATATGTAATCAATCATATAAAAGTATTAATTGCAATAATTCAGAATTGTTTTTAATTATCTTTATGGGAAAGAAAGAGGTTGAGAAAAAGAAGAAAACAATAATTTATAATTTTACAACTTATGATACAATCACAAATTCAGTTGTCACCAATACATTAACAGCTGCAATTTTATATAACAAATGGTAGTACAATTTGTGAAGGTCGTTGATGGTGAAGAGAAATTAGACTGTTGATCGGCTAAGATAATATTACAAAAATCTGTTCTCATCTTTTCACATTTCATCCATTACTGGTTATAATTATATTTATGTCAACCAGCTGCTAATATTACCAATGAAAATTTTCGCTTTCACTCATCAATTTTTTTTAAGTGACAGTTTTCAATGTTAAATAAATTTACATATATTATTTGTATGCATGCATTGCAATTCATATATATTGCATGCAAATGTGGATGAATGATTGGAAAGTTATCGATTGCATGCAAATGTCATTTGAATGATTTTTCATATTAAATTTAATAAAAAATTTTTTCCTTGTAGCATGTAATGATGAATTTTGAAGACAATGAAATCTAAAGAATTTTTCATTTGCTTCCGAATAATTAATTTATGTTGAATATTCTTTTTGTAGGGTCTGAAAATGATTGTCATTTTCCTCCAGCTGTCACTTGAATTTCGAACAAAACTAACATTAAATTATTTCTTAATTGCTTGCAATATTTTATAAAATGATTTATTAAATCCATCATTTTTTCTTGAATTCATATAAAGGCTTTAGATTGATAAATGATTAAATCTAAAATTTTCAAATTACTGTAGATAAATCATCTTCAACGGCTGAAAAGTGGCAACTTCAATGATTACTTTTTGAGACGCTTGCCATAGTGACAGTACTTTAAATCTTTGCTCTGAAAACAGTAATCCAAGCAAGTAAATAGGTAAAAGTGCGCTTTTTGCTACTAAAAATGAATCTTCTAATCGAATAGAATGAGTTGAATAGCATCCATGCAGGATGGCAAGCAAATGTAGCATTCGGATACTGTTATTATGTAAAGGTCAGTAAAATCATCGTGAACTTCCCTTAATTATTTCTTGAAATCTTGAGCTACCCTTACTGAAATCTTTCTTCAGTTATGTTTCTTAGTATGGTCATTTTCATAGTAAGTGGTCCAATTCTTTTCCCACAGTGCAATCTATTTGTGATAACAAACATTTAACACATTTGAATTTAATTTCTTTATTCATTGATCAATAAGATCAATAAGCAATATTTTTCATTTAATCAAAATGATAAGAAATATCAATCGTTCAAGTGATAAATGTTAAGATTCACATTGATATGAAAATATTGTTTATCAGATGGATTTGAAGGAGATGGGGAGCATTTGATTAATTTGCTTTTTTTTTTCTTGCAACTAAAAAATATTCTCCAAATATATTTCTCGATAATTTGAGATACCAAATTTTTTGGTTATCTAATGAGTAGGAAACAAATTGATATGTTAATGCTAACCTTATCAAGTATTACTGCAAGTGATAAATGTACATTTAATAATCATATCACATGGCATTCTTAACATTTTTTGGGAAAGTTTGAACTTTAATTCTCCATTTCCAATTGAAAATGCAGAGAATTTTGCCCCTCATCCAATTCGACTTTTATAGACTTTAATTTACATACTTGAGATTTAATTTTACTAGAGAGAAATCAAGTTCTAACGGCTGTGAGACAAATTGTTGAAGTTTGGTACTTCAGTAGGAAGTAGATTCAGAAATTTATTGTTTATGTTCCAGCATCATCCTATAGACATTAAACCACAATATTGAATTGACTCTCACTGTTGGCACCCTGCTAGGCATATTACCAAGCAAATAATAAAGGAACATTATTGCGGATAAAACTTTGCTGTTTGCTATTTTTGGCTGGTTGTCGTTCATTATGCAATATGTAAAAGGCAGAAATGGTATGAAAAAGAAGTCGAATGACAAAAATTGGGTCTGAAAATGAAAATTGAAATGTTTCATTAAAATAAGGACAAATTTCAACTTACTGACAACACTCAAAGTCTTTGAGAACATGCCATTTGGGGAGAATAAGATTTTTTTTCTCTTTATTTCCTCCGCACGAAGTAAAGTATTTCTTCATTTGTTTCAATTCTTAAATATGTATTTACACATGAACAACTCATCTTATACAAATGTCTGCGAAAGTAAACCATGTGTCTAGGAGCACCTTTGCTTTTTTATCATCTCGTTGAGACATCTGTCATAATAGGAAGATAAACTTGTTGTATGGCTGATAATCGATCCTTTAAAGAAAATAATGTTTGCTCCGCGAGCGCTATATTCTGCTGGCTTGCAAAAGTTGAACCCTGATGGGCGGTACCAACACAAACATGACTTAAATACTGCATTTGAGCATTCAGATCGCTTTCGATCGAATTAAGGCATTTCTTGAATGCTGATGATGCTTCCTCCATCTTAGATTTGCTGATCTGAAATGAAATTGAAATAGACTCTCACACAAATTATTGAAACATCTATTCACAATACAAGCATTAACGATGCTAAGTATAAATTTCGTGAAAAATTTCTTTCGCTTTCTTGGGCCCAATTTTTCTAGTGATTACTCCTCACAATATACTTGCAAATAAACCGTAGCGTATTGAAATGCGACACGACCCAAACATGTCGAAATACACAGCTTCTCATCAAACGATAATCGAATGCTATTAGCGGTTAAAAAAACAAAACAATAACGACTAATGATTTTTTTTCTCTAGTGCGTATGATTCTCGAGTGCACCTCACAGCAATTTATTTTTCTCAGTACTAATATTATTAGGAAAATTAATACGTGACAGTGTTTTTTGTATTTCAAATATACTGCGTCCCATATGTCAGTTCCATCATATAATACACATCAACTAATGAAATGACCTTCAAAGAACACAACAGATATCTGCTGATAAATTGAACATTCTGTTCATATCATTTCACAACTCCCTTAAATTATGATGCAAAATTAAGGAAAATTTAGGCATCGTTTCGCATTTCAGTAGGGTAAAGTTTTCTTGAAAAAAGAGTGTACACTGCCTGTTTCTCTTTGCTCAGTTCGTTGACACATGTTTGCGCATGTTTGATTAATTCAGCTATTTTCTGCTCAACATCACCGATAGCTTTTAACCGCCATGCCAGCTCTGAACCAGATGAAGCGCTAAGGTTCGACATATCATATAATGCTAAAATGCATCATTTTAGACTAAATTGTGCTATTTTATATAAACTTTGTTCAAACAATTTGTTTACTTTGCAAGAGTCAAACGGTAACCTTCAAAAGAAAATAAAGAAAGAAACATCTCCCTATAAATTATTCTCATACAATTGAGTGAAGTCATATCTATCCACTTAATTCAAAAAAACCGCTGATGACAATGTTTTATCTGCTGGCATGACCAGCAAGAAGCACCAGCTGCCCTCTGAAGACACTCTTCGGATGTAACTATCAAAAGATTTAAGAGTGCATACATGCGAGAATGTCAACGGATTCTTAACACCACTGAATGCTTTAATAACATTAAATACCTCAAGCAGTCCTTCTCAACCCTAATCATTCTAGCCAATTTGCTGGATATAAGGATCAACAAAACTTTCTAATGAAAAGGTTCATTGGGTTCAGAAACGACTTGCAACACGCATAATAAAGGAGTGCTTCAGATAGCAATTTATCATGGTTTACTGCCTCTTATATATTACCGTGAGCAAGTTATTATATTCATGCTTAAATAACTGATCTTTGCTACATTATTTGCAAATGTTTATTTATTGCAACTTCTTTTGCTTCTCTCTATGAATCACTAAGTAATGAGAAAATGGAAGATTTATTCGAACTTATTGGATGTATGCTAAGAGTAGAGGAAATTTATTGCAGAAGAAAATATCGAAATGCGTTCAATTGGAATTTGGGGAGAATATATTGGATGTTAAGTTAAATAACGCTATGGTTGATCTTTGGTAAACTAATAATGGCACGTATGATCCCATCGTCACATTGCAATTTTTTCTGGTGAATTTTATTTTCATTTCCTTTCAGATTATTTAATTTAATTTAATTTAAATCATTTCTCTATGTTACACATTGTAGATACTTTGCTCATTTCTCGCTTCCTCCCTCTTCCTCTCTCTTTCTACTTCTCTCTCTCTGCAAGAGAGAAATAATATTTTCATCAATGTTCAAGTAAATTTTGTAAAGTTTTCAGTATTTCTGCATCAGTGTTTCTATTGAAAACGCAAAGTTGTCGATCAATAAGTAGGAAGATTCCGCCACCTGGAAAACCACCAATTTGCCCTCCTGCTAAAAGAGTATTATATTTTCTTACCATTTTCTTGCGCAAAGCATAGTTTTCAAATGTTTCTGGATCTGTATATCTTGATTTCTACTTAATTTGTTGTTATTGGTTATTTTAAATTAGAAAATCTACAAGCTACTTATTACTAAAATAGTTCAATTTATGGAAGCCACTATTCCTACTTGTTTAGCAGTCATATATTTAAAGGTATTGTATCATGTTGTGCATCATCGCTGGATGAGACCAGATGTTGTCAAAGAATTGTTATGGCGTCGACATGTTTACAACAATGCTATAGTGTCATTACGTAAATTATTCAAAGAAGAATCTGCTAAAAACAGTTATGAAGGTGCAAGTTTTTTAGATATTTTGCTGGACATCATATTTTTCTCGAAATCTTGGAAAAAAAGTATTTTCCAGAGTTTAATCATGTTTGACTGGATTTGTGAAGAAAATGTTTTAAGATATGATAGCTGAAGGAGCACGGAAAGAGAATGAAGAATTCGAGCATTTATTAGCGTTAAATGAAGAGAGGAATCGAAAATCAGCAGAGTTTGTTTCCGTATTTGTTTTTTTTATGTCTCTTGAAATCATTATTCAATTTACTTTCACATTTTGTTAAATCCTTTCAGCTACTAAAAGTTTCTTAAATGTGAATTCAGGAAAAGGACTAGGCGTGAGGAAGAAGAACTGGAACGAATGGAATCCGAGTATTTGAAAAGTATTGAGAAAGAGCTGGAAAGAAGAGAAACAAATGTAAAACAAAGGATGAAGGAAGTGCTTCAGATGGTAATTTCCTTATGCTTTAATAGTTCGTCAGATTTTTACAGTTATTTCATTGTTTCGGTCAGTTTTTATCTTTATCCTAAATGTTTTCTATTTTTATACGAATGTTTCAGGTTGAGCGGAGCAAGCATTTCATAACTGATGAAAATCTGGATGAGAAACTGGAGGAAGCTTTAGATAATCCAGTCGTTTATGATTATGCGATAGATTTGCAAGGTAATAGGTATTATGTACCAGTGCCAGAAAAATATATCAAAGGTACGCCTCCTCGTCAAAAGGGGCGCATGTACGATATTACTTTGGGTACTGAACATTATAGTAAGCTGGTGCCGTTCTCTGCTGATTCCAGTAGGAGCACTCAAAAAGAAGACTTTAAACAAAAGCAACAGCAAAGCTAGGGTATCTGTTTCTGTTTAATTTATATCCTTAATGTCAAATTCCTTGTAGTTTGTTTATGCTAATTAAGAATTCAGTATTCATTATTGACAGTTTTTTGATTGTTTTATAATCGAAGTCTAACTTTTATGGACAGAATTTTTAGATATTTTATATGATTAAGAAGTAGTTAATGATATAGTTTGGAAATTGAAATCCAAAGAAATAAGTAATAAAAAATTACGAATTGCTCACGACAATAATATATGCACTGCTGCGGAGCTATAGGGATATTCTAGCAATGGTAAAGACATTGTCCAATTTATGAAGGACAGCTTTTATTATATTGTTTAAGGTCTGTTAACTTTGTGTAGAACGCTTTTACTTTGTAATCCTCTCTTACGTTTCACTATTGCCCATTTCTAACAAATGCACGTGCGTCTCTGTACGTTCTTATTTTTTATTGTATTTCCGACTACTGGTGATAGCTTTTGATAATTTAATTATGTGAATGTTTAAAACCTGTATATTTCATGTGCTTTTTTACCATTATATTCTCACTTGTAAGTGTCATCATGAAATAAATAAATAAATAAATGATCTAAATTCAATTCTAACATTTCGTTGTTACGCCATTTATCTTTTCATAAAAATGGAAATCCATGGTAGTGGAATTGATGTTGAAGCATAAAACATACCTGAACAATTGAACAATTTTTCTAGCTATTTTCTACCGATTTGCATTGTTCTTGTTCGCTGTGATTGACATTCCTAGTCACGGTGATTTTTTCATTGTCCATCCGAATAGGCAACTTAATTAAAACGGACATACAAATATAAATATTTGCTATGTATATTTATTTTTGTCAACTATTAGTCTGGAGTTTTTAGTCATAAAAAAGTTAGCGCATAGGGAATTAAATACAAAATTTATTGTTCTGAGAAGCTTTAGGCAGTATTTGCATTTGGTCACTTTCATGCAGTATTATATTCTTACCCTTTTTTAACTTTGGGAAGACTTTGTTTCCTGTCTTTGAAATATTTGTCATTTCCCAATAGTTATACAAATGTGGTTATTTCAATTTTCAATTTTTAAAAGTTTCAAATTATTGTACTTTTAAATTGCTGATTTCAGAGAAAGGGAAAAATGCCGGTACCTCCACCGCCACCACCACCGCCTTCGTTAAGCGTTAAATCAGGCGCTACCGCTTTGCAACCTAAAATTAATGACCGGTCCAAACTACTTAGTGAAATTCAAACTGGTATGAAGTTGCGGAAAACTATAACTAATGATAGATCTGCACCAGCAGTCGGAGGAAAAGTTGCAGGTAAGTAAAAATTAATATAAACTAAGAAGTAATCTTATGCTTGTATAAGAAAATTATGCAAAACATACCTGGATTGCAAATCCTTTTTATTTTGATTTCTCCTGCAGATTTGTCGGAGATCAGTGGCGGGACTGCCATTACTGGCGGATCAAAAGCTCCAGCTGTTGGAGGAGTTAGTGGTCTTTTTGTGAATGGTATTCCGAAAAAGCCTTCTGATAATAAAAGGAATCAAACAAATGTCTTTAAAGGTTTGTTCTTGGTTTTTGATAAAAGCGAAAATATACTATTACAGGAAATCAAGTAATTATTGTAATTAGTCAGTAATTATCTCACCACTTTTTTCTGACAAACAATTGCATTAAATGAATTGTTAGATTTAGGTGCTATAGCTAGCCTACCGCTGCTACCAAAACCTTCTGAAATGCATTCAGCAAAGCCGGTAACACACTCGGGATCTCAAGAACAGGTAATTTTGCAATTAATTGCTCGAACAAATTTTATTTCATTGGTTAAGCTTAACTATGTCAAACGCTTGATATTATTGAGTTGCATAGGATGGATTAATGACTACGCCTCTGTTCTTTATTCTTTTTTTCTGTATTTAAGAAATTAACTTATTATTTCCATCTCTTCGAACATTATTTTATTCATGTTTAAAAATAAGAATATTTTTTTTCAGCAGATTTCGACATCGTTGACAGAATTTTCCGAAACTTCTAATGCGTGTCGTCAAACTTCTGCTGGAATAGCCAGCCGCCTAAAACAGTTTAATCAGGTATGAATTTCAATTAAATGAGGCATTTCGATTTTTATATTAAGTGTATTTCCATGTCAAAAGTAAATTCTGTTAGCACATTATTTGTGTGAAATCATTTCATGATAGAAAATTTAGTCCCTGATGTGCAGTTTCTATACATTGCTGTGGGACTGCTTGAGTACATATCGTTGCTTTTTTATACATTATTTTTTACCTTCCAAGGTTTTAAGGTCAGTCGACCGGGACTAGCACCACCAATACCACCATCGCTCAAAACCAAGCCAACTGTTGATGATATCAAGTCTGCAGCGATAAAGAAAATTTCTATTCCAGAACAGTTCAAAACTTTGAGACCGAATAGGACTGCTAATGATGTCTCTTCTTTGCGTCGATCTGGTAGTTCTGATGTATGTTAATTTCACTTAGTTTGATGTTAAATAGATATGGAGTATAATCTCCTGATTAATTTCAGTATTCTGCAAGTTAGTATGTAAACTAAACTTTTTTCTTGAGGGAAAAATGATTGTGTTGAATTTTCCATTAACCACTGATTTTTTTGATGCCATTGCTGATAACTGTTTTTCAGGATGTAAGAAATTCTCAACCATCACTATCGAATAATCGTAGCACACCTCCATCAAGCGCTCCTCTACCTTTGAATCCATCTAGTTCGACTAGAATTCCGAAACCAGCATGTCCTCCTCCTCCACCACCTAATCAGGCATCTCGAATCGGACGTCCAGTGGCTCATCCATTCAACCATTCTATACCAGCTTCTTTTCCGGGAACACTTCCCAATGCATCAATCGACAATGATTCACCTCCTCCACCACCACCTCCTCGAATAGCTTCCTGTACCGATCAAATGGATCGTTTCACCTTTATTCCTGTCAGTGAGCTACCACCTCCAGGAATTTTTTCTGGAATAAAAAAAGTATATGAATACCATCCAGCACGCAAAATTCAAAACGTTTCTTCGCTTTACCGTTAATTTTAGCATCTATAAATTTAATTTCTTTGCTGACGAGTTTGCGATCAGTTGTACTCAATCTGTTTGATTTCATTACTTCTGTAAAAGCTTTGCTTCAACCGCTTGATTGGTGTTATTATGCCTGATTTAAATTTTAATTTTGGTTGAAATATTTCAAGTCATTTTTTTGGCTTTTTCTCGGAATTTTTAAATCATGAAACAAATTCTAATAATATAGTATATGCGGGTAATTATCTCTTTAATCCCTTACTTCTCTTTTAATCAATTTTACTATTTAACAGATTTTGTGTTAATTTGACGAGTTGTTTATCATCTTGGTCTTGATTTCTACAAGTAAACTGCTTTCTCATTTTTGTTCTTGATCTATTAAACATTCGTACCTTCCGAAAGAATAGAAAATATTGAATATCCTTGTTTTATAGATACTTGTGAGGTTCAGTCAACTTTTTCCGGGAATGGAATGATGTATGGAATGATTTGCTTAGATCTGTTTATTGTTGATTTCAGAGAGAGAATGATAAGATTATTCAGAGTGATGTTTTAATTAAAATGTTTTCCAAGAAAATACGAATTAGAAGTATCAATAAAGATTTTCTTTCTATTACTATTATTTTTGAGTATTACTGAGAAGCAATTTTAATAATATAAAGATTAATATTGTAAATTATCGAGTTATTCTTGTCGTGCATTTCCGATTTTGCTGTTTTTCAGGATATGTCTTAATCCCGTATATGTCTGCTCTTTACTGGTAAAACTGCATAAATTTACAATTCAAATAACTATCATGAAGCAAGTTTTTTTCTCTTTTTTGTAAATCATTTTGAGCTAACAAAATATCAGGAGAGGGGAGTAAGAGTAGAAAATTTTTATATTTTTATTTTGACAAACGTTCCTCACAATTGAAAAGATGAATTTGGAGAATTTGGAGTTTCTGTAAACAGGTGACTTTTATTATTTCTACACAACTTTATTCTTTCACAGAATTGACATTGATGGTTTGGAAGTTTATTTCCCTTATGACTACATCTATCCAGAACAAATTCTCTATATGGAAGAATTGAAAAAAACTTTGGATGCAAAAGTGAGCTTTTCGTCAAATTCCATGCACTTTCTTCGTTATGTTCTAATCCAAAATGAGTGTTAGCTTATTTTTTTTTCGCTATGAAATATTATTGAGTGATTAGTCATTTAAGAAGAGTAAAAATTACAGGGACACTGTTTACTGGAGATGCCATCAGGTACAGGTAAGACTGTTTCATTACTTTCTCTTGTAGTGGCATATATGCTGCGCTTTCCTGATCATCTGGACAAGCTTGTCTATTGTTCGCGAACAATTCCTGAAATTGAAAAATGCGTTGAAGAACTTCGCAATCTTTTCAAATATTACGAGCAGTGTGATGGTGTTAGTGTTTTTTTTGTCGAAAATAGAAATATATAGGACTCGGGGAAGATTTTGTTTTTATGAAATACTTAACTATAAATTTGAACAACTATCAAATCAGTTTGTTTCATCGAAGAATCGGAATCGATAAAAGTTTGTGTGTAAAAGATTAGTTTACAATTTTCAGTATCATATCAATTTTCATATGTTTAAGAAAACGCCATCTTTATTTGCGGTGGCTCTTTCTGCTCGTAAAAATTTGTGCATTAATGAATCAGTATCTTCGTTACGACAGGGTTCTCTGGTTGATGGAGCTTGTCAAAAGTAAGTTTCAAAAGAAATTTGTTTCCAAATTGTAGTTCAAATTCTATGGGAGAAATTTTTTCATTAAGAGCGCACTAAAAGAAATTGCCATCTTTAGTTGCGATGACTCTTTCTGCTCGTAAAAATTTATGCATTAACAAATCAACATCTTCGTTGTGATAGGTACTCCGGTTGATGGAGCTTGTCAAAAGTTTCAAAAGATTTGTTCTCAGTTTGTGTCTTGAATAATTTACCAAGTTAAGGCTGACGGCAAGTTTTATGCGCGCTAAACGTAGGCTTCGTCCGGATTTACCATTCTGTGCATTCTTCGAAAAATTAGATGAACAAAAAAATTTCAGTTATCCAAACGGTGTATACAATTTGGTATGTTTGTTAAATTAATATATAGATGGTTTTGAAGGTTGTTTAAGTTTTTACATGCTAAGCATATAAAAATTTTTTTTACTAAAAATTTAGTAGCATGAATTTATGGATTGTAATGGCTTGAGATGTTTTCTGTTAGTTCTTGTTTTGCAGCAAAATTTGAGGAAACTAGGCCAGCAGAAGGGAATCTGTCCCTATTTTTTGTCACGCAATGTTGTCGATCGTGCAAATATTGTTGTATATTCTTATCATTATATTTTGGACCCGAAAATTGCGGAATTGGTTTCAAAAAATTTTAGTCGCCACTCATGTGTTGTTTTTGATGAAGCTCACAACATTGGTTCGTAAATTTTTCTAAAAGTTATGGTCTGGAAATTTGCTATTTTAATTTGAAAAGTGTTGCAAAAATACCAGCTATATTTTTAAAATAAGATATGTGATCAGAGCGACTAAAATAATACGAAAAAATTTTTCAGATAATGTTTGCATAGAGTCAATGAGCGTATCTTTAACAAAAACAACAGTTGAAAAAGCAACGCAGAAGTTAGGTATACTTGAGGAGCATGTACAAAGGTAATCAAATTGTGAAGTACTCATTACTAATTACTAGTTTAAAATTTTCAGTTCATATTTATTTATAGAAGTATTTTCTCGATGTTTATAGTACCTTTGGCAACTCATGCTCTCAAATTTATGAGAATATGATATACCATAGAATTATTTTATTGTCATAAAAACTTATTTGTTGTTAACACATAACTCAGAATTCATCTGATCAAAGAAATTACAATGTGTTCCACATGGGTAATTTTCAGGTTGAGGGAGGAAAACAGTGATCAATTGCGGGTGGAGTATGATCGTTTAGTTGAAGGATTGAGGAGTATCGAAGAAGAACGTGCGAACGATCAAGCTTTAGCAAACCCTGGTTTATTTTTTATTTGTATTGTTTTTTTTCCAAACTTGGAATTTCCTTTTATATAAATCGAAAATAGTTTAATTCAACTTTCAGTTCTTCCTGACATGATTTTGAAAGAAGCGGTGCCTGGAACAATACGAAATGCATTACATTTCATTTCATTTTTGCGTCGTTTCAATGAATATCTAAAACATCGGATGCGAACAAAAACGGTTTTAATTGAAAGTCCAGCAGCATTCCTTCGCGACATTAATGATTTGATGCATATTGATCGAAGACCACTCAGGTTTTTAATGATTACTTTAATTCGTTAATTTCGATTTCCGGTCAGTTTATTTTCTTCTGCTATATTCGGAGTCAGTTCCCGTTTTTTAACCAGTTCTCATTTTACTGCTTTGTTCCACATTGTAGTCGTAGTGAAAATGTAATAGCAGTATATTAAAACGAGAAATATCTTGTACTGTGGAATTACTCTATAACTGTTTGATTTCATTATGATCGAAGTATATGATCTTTTTAATTTGAATTTTTTGTTGATTATTTTTCTGAGTTTTGATAAAAAGAACCTCAGATAGAGCATAAGAAGAAATTCGCACAGTTGCATTAGTGCAATGTTTTGAGTTAAAATAGCTTAATGCTGTTAGAATAAAAAATCTCTGTTTTGTCAAGGAACAGATTTTCTCAATTTTTTATTAATTGGTGCAAAAGTAATTGATTTTTTATATTACTGCCTTTTTTGATTTTTCATGAGAACATTTGATAGCACCTTCGAATACTAATATTTCAAAAGTTCGACGGACTGAGCTATGAAGTTTTGCTTCACCCGTCGTGTTCCTCACCAATTTTTAGGATCCACAAAATGCAGAAGTGTCTTTAAAAAATTATTTAGATCCCATCTACATTGATTGTTAAGGATAGTTTAAATTGAATCTAGTACAGTGATTTGAAATTCATCATTTGAGGCAGTATTAGTTTTGCACCAACTTAATAACATAAATTCATGTGGTATTGACATTGTATGATTTAAAAAGATTACGATTATATTAAATAGTCATCTCTTCATTTGCTGGTATCCAATCCTTGCAGAATGTTTTTTTTTTTTTGTTTCAGATTTAATGGAAGTAGCGTTTAAATTTATTTAAATGATTTTTGAAACTTTCTTAGGTTTTGTGCGGAACGATTTGCATCATTAACACGAACTTTGGAATTGGCTGACATATCAGATTTCAGTTCATTAGTGTTAATTACAAATTTTGCAACTCTTGTAAGCACATATGCACGAGGTATCTTATCCTTCTAATCGTTTATTAATATGTTTATATTATTTATTAATATAGTTCACTGTTGCCATATGTCCTAATATATGTTCTTATTCTTTTTTTTAGGTTTTGCAATTGTAATTGAGCCATTGGATGAGAAAAGTGGTACTGGCCATAGCTGTATATTACATCTAAGTTGCATGGATGCTTCAGTTGCTATTCGTCCTATTTTTCAACGATATCATACAGTTGTCATCACTTCGGGGGTCAGATTTTAAAGTTGCTTAAAAAGCAAAAATACATTAGACAATAGCGGTGCCATTTTTTGTATGCGATCAAATTAATTATGGCGATTATCATGGAATGAATGAACTGATTTGAATTTAACCCATCTGGTAGAATTTTCATTTTCAAAAAAACAAGCTTGAAATTTATTTTCAAAATAAATGCAGACTTTATCGCCACTTGATATGTATCCAAAAATTCTGGACTTTGATCCAGCGATTATGGCAAGCTTATCAATGACTCTAGCAAGACCATGTATTGCGCCACTAATTGTTTCAAAAGGTTTGGTATCTGTTCCTTCTGCATACAATTTATGTATTCAATGGTTTTATCATTCAATGCTATTTCCGACGTTTTTATCTGCTGTTGCTACTCTAACCCGTAAATTTCATCATTCACATAATAATTTCTCTAGAATTTCATTTTTAGGCAATGACCAAGTTGTTATGACATCTCGCTTTGAATCTCGTGAAGACGCTGCTGTTATTCGGAATTACGGCAGTCTTGTTTTGGAACTTGTTTCTTTAGTACCAGATGGTGTTGTGGTTTTTTTCACCAGTTATCTTTATATGGAGAATGTTATTTCAACATGGTATGATCAGGTAGCTGTGGTTTTCTAGAACAGTAGAATTTATCAGATTTTAAGACTCTCTTTTATAATTTGGTCAAACAATATTTCAAGTATGTATACTATCTAAACTGATTCCGATTTCTGCAGGGCATCATTGACGAATTATTGAAATACAAACTTTTGTTCATCGAAACAACCGATGCACTCGAAACAAGTATTGCTTTAGAGAAATATGTGGAGGCATGTGACTGTGGCAGGGGTGCTGTATTCTTTTCTGTTGCAAGAGGAAAGGTATTTCAGTAATCATGGTTTTGCTTAGAAAAGTTTCCATAAGTTCTCTTTTTTGACTGAAATATTGAAACTTAATTGAAATACTTTTCTTATTTTTTTTTATTTTTAAACAAAAGCTGAAAACCATAGGTATCCGAAGGGATTGATTTTTCACATCATCTTGGTCGCGCCGTGATAATGCTTGGTGTTCCATATGTATATACGGAAAGTCGTATATTGCGGGCGCGATTGGAATATTTACGAGAACAGTTGGGAATAAGGTGTGTTAACAATTTAAAATTACTAAAGCAACAGAAAGTTAGAAAAATTTTTTAAGTTTAGGAATTCAGGAGGAAGGTGAAAAGTTAAGGTTTTCATGAATAAATGAATTATTGCTCTCTGCTTTTACCGTAGAGATATTTTAGAGAAAATGATTTTCTAACATTTGATGCGATGCGGCAGGCAGCGCAATGCATGGGTCGTGCACTGAGAGGAAAAAGCGATTACGGTTTGATGGTGTTCGCTGATAAGGTTGGTTCTTCCGACTTTAAAAGCAGAAGTTTTCAAGAATGAAAAGGTTTTTAATAAATTCAACAAAGATGATAGAAAACCAATTAAAGGAGGATATTTCGATTGTTTCTCATTTCTCAATGACTTGTTAAATGAGGTTCGCAAAAATTATGTTTTTAGAGGTTTTCACGGAAGGATAAAATGGGTAAACTTCCTCGTTGGATTCAGGAATATATAACCCCTGGTAATGTCAACCTCAGCATTGAAGAAGCTGCTATAATAGCAAGAAAGTATGTTTTAAAACATTTCATATTAATATCCAAGAACTGTGGTGCCGATTGAATAATTCGTCAGAAAATTTTATGAGTTATCATCTTGAAAGTGTTTTTAAACATCATTAGAAAACAGTTTTTTTGATGCTTTTGCAAGTGAAAAATAAGTAATCATTATTATCTTCTAGATGGTTTCCGCTAATGGCGCAACCATTCACCAAAGAGCATCAGTTGGGGATTTCATTGCTTACTGAAGAAATGCTTCGCGAAAAGGAATTATTGGGGAAAAAATTTGGACATGTTTTAGAAGAGGTTGATTAAGCAAAGTGTTTAGAAGAGGTTGATTAAGCAAAGTGTTTAGAAGAGGTTGATTAAGCAAAGTGTAAAGTGCAAGATTTATTTTTGTCTCTAAAATGAAACATTATGTTTTGAAATGAATATTTTTCATCATCGGGAAAATAGGTTTTCCATAACGAAAAAATGTAAAAGATGTCTGTTTTCTCTTCGAAATTTCTAAAAGTATTGGGAATTGGAACTATTAGTTTATATCGGTTAGCTTTTGATGGCAATTAATGCAGTTCAGAATGCTACAGATTCATTTATGATTCAATGCACTGTGGCGGGAAAGAATGTCTGTATTCGAGAGGCATGTAGATGAGTTACTTAAATACTAGAGATTGTCATTAACAAATGGACTCGAGGAATTCAAATTAGAAACTGGAAAAAGTAAAATCCTGTTCAGAAACTGGGAAAGGCAATAAAAATAACTTGTAATTTTTGTTTCCATTTAATCTAACGATCAGATCTTATTTTATACCACTTTAATTAAATCATTGAGGATTGATTTGTTTACTTGTTTGTTTGTTTTTTCGTTATACCAAAATAATTGTTTTGTTTTATTTCGCTGGAAAAATTTTCATAATATTGCAAATTTCGTAATATGCTTCGGGTGAAGATCTCTTTATATGCTTCTGTTTTGCTTCGTATCGTTGATTTAGCAGCATATTGTAAATATTGTCATATTGTGCTTTACACGCAGGGCACAAAGTTAAACGGGTCTCATTTATTGATTTGGTGCAGTCAGTTTTTCCATATAAACAGACTCAATTAAACCTGCTTATTTGGATGAAAAATTTTTTTCTCTTCATTCTGCTACTGTGTTCTCAAGTATTGTGAATATCTATGATTCATTCCCATTATTCGTTGTTTTCACGAAATTTGGCTCAATCAGTTTCCCATCAACTATTGCTTGTTTTTGCATTATAATTATCGTTGTTGGTTCTCAGTGACAGATAAAAAATAAATGTATTTATATTATTTTTCTCATAGTAATTTATTTCACTGTGGCTAGCAACACCATTTTATTGATTTTTTTTTTCAGATTTTTCCTATATATTCCAAAATAAACGCGTAAAGCATTGATTCTTACTTTCCAATTCAGTTCCGCAATTTCAAATCAAGGAATTCGATTTTTAAAATGGTCTTCAAACGTAACTTCTCAATTTTCTATGATAGGAAATATCAAATAAACAGTGCTGGCACATTCATGATTTTTCGATCTAAAAGATTAAAATAAAGTATGTGGCATGCACATTTCAAGTTGCATTCCTATCTTAGAGACGATATTTGACATTCGTAAGTATTTGACTTTTCCCAGCTTACTCTTTTCTGTTTTCCGATTTTTTGGGCTATTCTTGGATGTATTTAGTGGCTTGTTAGATACATTTAGGTAACAGTTTCTCGTGGCCCTTTCAAAATTATCGATACAAAAATGACGCCTCTCGAGGCTGCATTCATTCAGTCTGCAATTCTCACTGACATGTACAAGGGGTTATGAGTACCAAACGGAGCAAACATATATGCTGAAATAAAGCTAGTCCTTCCTGTCCCGGAAACAAATCGTACTCTTTCTAACTTTAATGTCCAGTTGTCACCATTGCGAAATTTTGCAATGATTTTCTTTTATAATTTTATTTCTTATGCTGAAAATTGAATTATTTTCTTTTTCAGGAATTGATGTTCTGACGAATATTTTCTAATTGTGCAATGGAACACTGATATGATAGAAATATGGTATCGATCCAGCATCGGCCAACTCCAGCACCACGAACTAGTTTAACTGACCGAAAACCACCAGTGCCAAATCGTTCCTTGAAATCAGCGGTTATTCCGAATGTTCTTATTACTTTACCTGATCCAACCAAACGAATACGAAATTCTCGGTCGATCGTCCTGCCCATTCAAAACTTATCGTCAAGAAGTCTTCGTCGTGTTAAATCTTTGTCCGATATCACAAAGACGGTTACAACGAATATTAATCGATCTGCTTCATCAAACATTCAGATTACCGATGATTCTAGAGATATGCCAGATGAAATATTGAATTCAAAAGGCTTGGAACGAGGCCGTGTTGCAAGGCTTGCAAAAATGTTGGATTTAGCAATTGAGCAGAAGAAATCAATAAGTATCAACTTAGTAGCAGAACATGACTTGTCTTCCATAACTGAAAAATCGAAGTATTTGCCGGAAGATGGCACTATTTCGGATGCTGCGAATAAAGGTGACGATAATATTTGGATAGAATCCGATATAGGAAATGTTTCCCAGAATGGTTTATGGAACTCAGGATATATCGGTCTTGAAGCATATTCAAGAATGGTGGAATTATTCCATGATGATGATGTTTCGTCAAGTAATGGGTAGATTTTTTAATGGTTTTGATATTCATATCTGCAAACATCTTGAGTATCTTAAAATCGCAAAAGTCCTTTGCGAAATCACTTGTTAAAAATTTCATGAAATTTGTGCTTATAATAAGTATCTGTGATATTTTCAGAATTAATAGAATGCTGTTGCTAGAACTTGCGGCTGCATTTTATTAATTCTGAACATATCACAGTTATTAGAACTTGCATTAATGTATAACTAGCTTACAAGCGTAGTGAAAATATCACAGATAACTTGCTTACAAAGTATAGTTATACATTAATGTAAGTTCTGATAACTTATAGGTTTGTGCTTATAATAAGTAAGATAATAGTTAAATAATTATTTAAAATAATTATTTACGTTATATTTTAATGGCAGCATTTTTCAAATTATTCTTATTTTTTATTTTCGAGGCATTTCACAGTACCACTTTCGTTCAGATGTAAGAGAAGTTTCGATTCTCCGGACAAATATTCTGATGCTGGCAGTCTTGAAAATTCAGCAACTATAATCCTACATTCTCCGAGAGAGAGGAAGAAGATGGATGATGGAAACAATTTAGGTTATAATTTGTTGTTGTCGGCATGGGCTGAAGTTGTCGTGTGCAAAAAAGATTACGGTAAATTGTGGATTGTTGTCGAAAAAAGCGCTTTGGTTGGTTGGGCTACCAGTAACAAGGTATAATTCAATTCATTCTTTTGTTATGATTCAGAATGCACCAAATCGGATTAGCCAATAAATTAAAATTATTAAAGAGTAAGTCAGGGAATGTTTAGTCCACTTAGTCAGGAATGCACATAACAGAACGGATTACCAAAAATATTAAATATTCGGAGAAGTATAGAGAAAAATAGAAAAGCAAAATTGGCATAAAGTAGAAAAAATATCTAAATTCTCCAATCAAATCTATAAAAAAGTTTAATTGCATTAGATATCTAAGCAGATCTGTCGAAGTCTATAAATATCAATAATATTAATATGGTTCTGAAATTCCACACACACCTTCGAAAAAAGATGGTAATAAAATTATAGATTTAAAAACAGTGGCAACAAATTTCAGCTATATCCAAAAATTTCTAATTGGCAATTAAAATGGGATATAATAAGACCTACTTAATATTTGTTCTCGCATAAATTCATATCCATTTAATTTATCGAACTAATCAGATTCAGCGATAATATTTAAATAACAGAATTCAGAAAATAACATAAACAAGTTGCAATCTATAGAAATAAAATCTGTTTTATCTTGGAAAACAGGAAATGATGAATTCAGTTTTTCTCATGTCTTTATAATTCATTTTTCAGGATTTTAGTTCTAATCATATTTGATAGAAAGAAAATCATCCTAGCTCGCAGTAATCGAGTATGATAAAACTTATCCTTACTTCAGAATGGCGATCCTATAATTGGCCCCTACAATCTGAAAAACATTTTGTATGTTGGAAAAAATCCAGTAAATGGTGCTATTGAGTTACATGTTCGGGAAAATTATTTATGCAGTCACTGGACAAATCTTAAGCTCAAAATGGCTGCCGAAGCGGAAAAGTGGATTTTGGATATTGTAAAAGTTGGTGGTTTTTTAGCTGTTCTTTAATTCAGTTAAAAAATTAGTTCGAATTTTTTGAACAGCAACATTCATTGTAAGTTTGCAGTGTATTATGCCGAAGAATGAATTGTTGCTGTACAGTGTAAGAAATTTAAGTGCAGGAGGCAGCGTATGGATACGCCAAGGAACAGCTTGCGCATGGTCAAGCGGTTGGATGTTTCTCGACGAAGTTAGTGAACTCTTGCTTCAAGCCTGTGACGAATTAAGTCTCATTAATATTTCTGCAGTACCATTCAAGTTTTATGTATCTATTAATTTTCAAAATTTTCGTAGTAAATTGAAAAAATTACAGCATAAACTATATTACGCATTGGATAGTTGTGCTATATTGTTTGAACTTGATGTGCGTAAATTTGTTGGAATGAAAAGTACATTAAGCAAAGTTGATTGGTGCGCATCGGTTATTGGTTCGACGAAAGGACCATTCCTTTTGCTACAAGAAGGAGGGTTTGTCTTTTTTCCGAAATGAGAAAAATCTTGAAATCTTCGTCTTTGATTTTTGGGCTGTTTTAGTTTGAAACTTTTTCTTTGCAGTTTTCACTCTTGATTATGGTTTGTTTATAGTTCTTTATTCGTTCAAGCTGAGTATGATTCAGCTACTTCAACATGGATTGATTTATTGAATCATCAGATGGAATGTAGCGGTTATCGATTGGAGGACTCGAAGTTAACATCAGATGATGTTCCTGTTATCGTTGATAAGTAAGTTTGTGCTCAAAAGTATTAAATGCGGAACTTAATAAGATATAAATCCTTAATTTCTAGAAAATGGATAAACTTCATTATTTTCAGCAAACAATTATATTCGTGTTAAAAGTAATTGTTTATTATTAATCTTTATGGCATTTTTTGGTGACAAATTACATTTATTTTTCAGGTGTATAAAATTTATTTCCACTTATGGTCTTCTTCAACCGGGTTTGTACAGGCGAAACGGTCCTAATGTTGAAGTTCGTTCGTTGCTAGCTGAATTCAGGAAAGGTAAATTATTATCAAGATTTTCTTAAATTTTGTACTTAAAAAAGTCTTCAATTATATAGATTTTCATTATTTTCTATTCCATCAATTTAAAATTTTTTCCTTTTTGTTTTGTTTTTTTTTCTTGACCTAGAAACGGTATAATTTCAGTTAAATGCATTATAATTTTAGACCCTGTAAATGTGCACTTATTGCCTGGATCAGATGATATGATAAATGTTGTAGCCGATGTACTTCGATCGTTTTTCAGACAGCTTGATTCTCCGCTTGTCCCTTATCACATTCAGGATCGACTTTTCGCTGTTGCAAGCATGAAAGGTATTTGGATTCAAAATTTTTTCATTGGTCTATAAATTTCAATAAATTTTGTTTTCAGATCAAACTAGATTAGATGAGTATCACGAAATTTTGATGGGTTTGCCACGAATACGCATTCAGACATTGAGACGTATCCTTGACCATTTAAAAGATGTTACGGAACTTGCAAATGCAAATTTAGCAACTATCGAAAACGTTGCAAAAATTTTTGGACCAACTTTGTTTTCGGTTGAGCAGGTTTTTGTTTTATTCTTTATTTTATCTCTCGTCATATCTACAAACTATATTTGATTAGGCCATGTTATTTGTACAAAATATGTTTAATACACTTTTAGCCGCGTCGTTATTATGACTAATCTGAAGGTATAACATTGAAAAGTAACATATTTTCTCAAATTCTGTTTGAAAATTATTTTATTAAATCTCCACTGCGTTTGCTGTCGGGTAATTCTGATGCTTGATGATTCCGATCATATTTCTCCTTTTCCTGTACTGCTAAACCCTTACCATTTCCTCTTGTGATATGTTTCAATAAGATTTTTTGGTGAACTCCCAAACTGAACTTAATTTTAGGATAATGGAATAAATAACAGCTTTGCTGCCACAATACAGCAAGTGAACCTCGTCAAAGACCTTCTCACATATTATGCTTCTATATTCCGAATTTCAGCACGTGAAATGATTATAAAGTCGAAAATAAATATGCTGCAGGAAAAGCCAAACCAAACGAAGGTTTCGAGATTATTTTTCTATTTCCATTTTTCAAAATTTCAAATTTTAAATAAGCCAAAGTTTGTGCATTGGACTTCAGGCCCGTGCAGATGGTTTTCTTGTTCCTGTACATATTCTTGAGAAAGATAATCACACATTCAATGTGCAGTCATCTTCAAATGCAGAACAAGTGAGTATTTTGAATATTGTTATTTAAATTATTGATCTTATGGCTAAAAGTTTTCGACTATGATTTTAATATTTTTATTGTGATTCAAATTTTTGATTGGTTGAGCATGGTTACAGGTCTGTGATGCAGCTAGAAACAGGCCAGCTGTTCGTAATGAGATTGATGTAGACAATTTTGCATTATTTGAGGTAAGTTAGCTGTACATTCATAATCATCGTTTTAGCCAGTTAACATTTTGGAAAGCCTCAAAAACATTGACTGATATAAAATATTCTTTTAGGAAATAAAATGTGGTCAGCTGGAAAGGCGAGTGAATCCGCCTGAGAAAATGAGCTCAATGATTACTGGCAGATGGCTTGACTGGGAACCTGCTGAATGCTTTTTTCTCTTTAAGAGAGACCCTATTCCTTATTCATTTCGGGTTATTTTTTTTAATGTGCTAATTAAGCCGCTTTTTTTTAATATGTGTGGAATGCAGTTTAGTAATTTAAATTGCCACAAATATATTTTGCGACGGAATATTGATGGAAATGAGCAGTAAGGAGTGCATATATGTATTTTTTTGCATATCCGTCTTGAGTTTCAGAAAAAAACACTCAGAGGTAGTAATACTCAAAGTCTTGATATGTCTGGGTTTATATAAGTGAAATGAATTCATTGGTATGATTTATTCGTTAACTTTTCGGTTTCCGTAATTACATAAATGTCATGATCTAGATGTAAGGATGATATCAGAATTAATATGGTGCGTTTAAGGCTTCGACAGATAAGTTCCTTTGTTTCAAAAAGTGAAGGAGGCAAATAATAATTGAGTATAGGGCATGCTTACTTACTGAGAAAATAATCAGGAGATAATTGTGATTGTAAAAAATGAGAAGTTTATAACTAGTAGTTTGAGAAATTAAAAATTCAAATAAATCATCTTTGTTTCTTTAAATTTGACAACAAGTACTTAATTGTATAGTTAACTAAACAAATAATGTTTTCTCTTCAGCTTTCTTATCCATTTGCTGATGATGTGCGGATTGCGGAGCAAGGGACAAAGTCGTTCAGCGCTGGTCATTTGAAATTAGAGGGCGGATTAGTTGCTTACTATAATAAGGTATGAAATCACGTTAAATTTCATTAATATCGTGAATTTGAGAGATAATAAATATCTTTTTATTTAATCCAAAATCTTCGAAACTAATTCAATCTCAATTTTACATAATATCATAATTTTTTCCATAATAATGGTAATTTTGAGGTGATTAAAAACCATTTCTTAAATGATGATTTCGATTTGTGATTCCATTTATGGTACTTCACCCATTGGATCGTATAAAAAATTCACCATAACATTAATGTTATCTCATCCCTACCTTTTTATCTGTTTCTTTTGTTTGTCTTACTCCCATGATTGTTCTATTTTCTACAGATTGAGAAGTACTTGCCAATTGATTAAGTTCTAACAAAGAGCCGAAGATTAAGGTTTAAAGCCTCCTACTTTGACATATTAATAGACTTTATAAATTCTAAGATTAACAGATGATGCATAGCTTCAATTTTTGTAGGTTTTGAAAAAAGTGAATGAATGGCATACGGATGATATATTATGGTACATTGGACATGAAAATAGTCGTAAACCACCATATCCACACACTCTTACATTTATATTACCAAAAGATAATAATTTCAAGTATAAATCGAAATATATGGGTTATTGTATTGCGTTTCGTGAAGCTACTCTGAGGACGCAATGGCTCAATGCGGTAGTCAGTTCACAGGAAGATTTTCATGAAAATTCTGCAATGCCTTTGGTGCAAATTTGAATTTTTTCAGTTTTTTAAAAAAGTTTTTTAAATTTCAGAAAATGTATCTTTATTGCTATGTGCATTTTCTTTTGGGTTACAGTCGCGTTATTTGAATTAGTACGTCGTAAACGGTTATCACTGTTTGTGCCAGTAAATATACATATGTAGAATGATTTTATTTTGGGAGAATACAAAGCTTCCCACATCTATATCCCACTTTGTACAAAAAATATGCATGTAGTGAAAAAAATCCATGGTCTAAAAGCCACTGGTCAATAGAAAATTAAAAGTTTGTCTTTTTGTTTTGTCAAATCCACAAAACCAGTCAGTAAACGGTGGTCTATTAATGGCTAGAGGCAAAATTGTGTATTTTATCGGAAGTTTTATAGGTTTCGGATATTATTCTAGAAATTTTTTGCCAGAATCACATTTCCAATACCTGATTAAATTCATGATTCTAAATCTTAGGTAGGATAAAGTTAAATTGACCGTGAAATCTGCGAAAGTTTGTTTTTGGTCTAACAGTTTAAAAATTTATGTTGCCCATCGCTCAAACTTCCTCTTTTTCTGATAATATGTAGATAATAATTGCATAGGCAGAATTTATCTGCAAATGAATGCCGCACTGTGGTTCACATCTAAAAAACCACAAACATCGGAACTCATATCTTCTTCCTTGTATTTGTGCAGGATAATGAGAACTTCAAATAGAAATGTTTTAAAAAATTGTTTATAAGTTAATTTATGTTTAATTAAAACAAAAATAAGTATACTATTTGGAAAAACCCTAATGTATTCTTAATCTTAAATTTTAATTGAATATGTAATAGAATGAAATGAGATTTTAGTAGATTTCGTGCTGTTGTATTTTGTCATTGTATGCATGGAAGTAATTAATACATATTTGTTGCAGAATAATTACTGTAATTTGTACTTAAACAATACGGAGACGTTTGTTATATTCATCACTTCTCACATCTCTACACAATTTTTTATGTAACCTTTATCGTCGAAGGAAAGAGATCCTAAGCTTTTGATAGAGCATAATGTTATGTCAAAAAAGATTAAGCATAGTGACATCCTGCTTATATTAATATGTAAAGCTGGAGGACCGGTTTTTAAAATGAAATTCCAAAAAAACAATGTGGTATATTTTATTTCAAAAACTGAAATGTTGGGATATATTCAGTGTTATATTTAATTAGGATACACCCATTTTTGTCAGAGTACGACGTTGACAACGAAATAATTTAGAACTATTATTAGTTAGTGATAGGTTATTTAATATTCATTGAATTACTTTGCTGAGTATATCTTAAGAACTGCTAGTAAAGCATTGCGATTCGGAGCTTAGTGTGTTTGAGAGTGTATATATTTAATTTTAAGAATATATATTGATATTGAGTGGAAATTAACTTTTTCGTAAGAAGTAACGCTTTCCTCCGAAACCGTTTAGTGTTATGAATGATAATGAAATGGCAATGTATCACATTAAGTTGATTCAAACTTAAGTGGTGCTCGGAACAGTTCTTTGATATACTTTCAGAATAATTTTGTTTGAAACTTTAGAATGAATAAAATAGTCTGTTTTGCGTTGCATCAAAGCTAAGTCTCATTCGTTTTGGGGCAGTATGTTTTCAATGGAAGCTTTATTTTGAGATATCAAAGTGGAAGTGTATAAGGTAAGTGGAATTACAATAATTTATTGTGTATGTAAGATTATATGTAAAAAAAAGCAGAATACCGATAAAACAAAAACAAATACGCATAAAATGACAAATGATACTCTGAATACCACTAAAATTAATTTATATCACAAATTTCATATTATGCTTAAAAAAAGATTATTCTCGATCGATGTACATTATATCGTATTTTGCGTCGATCCATCCGTTAAGATCGAAAACTTAGAATTCGTAGAATTTGATGACGTAATGCTATTTGCAATTAAAGAATTTCGAATGCCATATAATGAATGGGCAAGCGACATCCGATCTCGTAATCCTAGCATTTGTAATAATGTTGGCTTCTCAATATTGTGTCCCAACGATGGTACGCTGCGTGGTTTCGAATATAACGATGGCAGATGATGTGAACGTGGACTGCAAACAGGACTTAATTTTAAAATTATTAGCAATTTAAAGCGATAAACCTAATAAATTAATAACAATATATTTCATTATCTCGCATTATTGCTGCTTTGTTGCATGATATTGTAACCCGCAAAAATACTAAAAGTTTAGAGTCTGTGAAAAAGTCATCTAGAAAAACTGAAAACAGTGGTAGACTTACGTTGAGGACGTGTAGCTGTATCTTCGTGCGACAACATTTGGTCGTCCACCTGGATATGTTATCGAAGCGTTGCGGATTAAACCCATATGTGGCAAATTATTGCCTTTTTTACCAAAAAATGATGCCGGAGCAGGATTCCAATGAACAATTGGTTGTGAATGGAAATGAATTCGAGCGGGAATCTCGTTTTCAGTTGCTTCAGCTGCCGTTCCAAATGGAAACTTAAAATGTTAATTTGTAACTTGTGAGAATTATTTTTTAAAGTATATATAACTTCAATGAAAAATGGAAACTGCTTTAAGTAATTTGAGATTTGAGATACAGTCATAAGGAGCAGATATAATGGCATCATAAGGCAAAGACGTTAAAGATCGCAACTAAAAGGCGTTCAGAAGAAATTACATGGAGTTAAGGTCAAATTTTCTGGAAATACAAAAATTCTGTTTAGGCTTTAATTTCAGCATATAACGATCGCAGAGTAAACTTTAAAAAAAAACTCAAAAATCAATTCCTATGATGATAGATTTCATTTTGCGCAATTCTACCATAGATCAATAGCGAACGAATGAAAAAATGAAAGATTATTACAATAATCAAGGATTATTTCTCTTAGCAAATGAAAATGAAGGATTATTACCTGAACCATTAATTCAGTTATTTGTGGTATCCTTTCACGAAGTTTATCGGTTAATTGACGAATTCTTTTATCCTGCACATTTTAATAACAGATGTCAATAGATATTCTTCGCAAATGTAAATAGATTTTTTTCTTTTTAATTGTCCGAAATGCAAACTTATATTTTAACTAAAAATTAAGTAATCAAAACTGAGTTTGCCATATTTTTCGAAAAAACTGGAGAAATACAAATAAAAATGAGAGATAAAGGTTCCGAAAAATCTGTGAGCTATGTTTAAACGATGAAAAAAACGTCAAGATTAATCAAAAAAACGTCAAGATTAATCATTAATTTTAAGGTCAGAAATTCTTATGATTTCAATTTTAACACGACATAGCTCTTACTTTATTTTTATAAATTTGCACACATCATTATAAGTAATGGAGACGTAATAGAGTCAGACTTTTTTGATAACAAAAAATTTTCAATGATATCTACATGACATGTGATATAATCATGTCAAGATATTATTTTTCACAATAGCAATTTTTTATGTTATCACAATTGAAATTATGATGGTGATTAGAATGGGTACTTTACCTGGTAGGCGAGTTGACTTCGTAGCGTTTTGACAGTTTCATCAGTTTGTTGCTCCAAGTCTTTTAAATTTTTCTTACATTTTTCCAACTCTTCATTCAGCTTATCCGTATTTTGTTTTTCTATCTCTATCCTGTAATTTTTAGCCGATCATAATTGTATTTTGATACTGCATGCACAATTAATTGTAAAAGAATTTTTATGGGTTACAAACAAATCGTAAAACGAGGCATGATTTAGATGTTTAACCAAAGATTTGATCTTATTTGTTTAACTTTTATAATTTAAAAAACTTCGCATTTGTTTAAATCTTATAATTTAAAGAAAAGGAAGTAAAGAATAATAACAAACTGAGTTATTCAAACATTCAATAGTTCAACAATAAAATATTGAGAATAATACTTACGAATTATTTTTTCTATTACCCTCTTTCAATCATTGATAACCGAAGAGTAGAAAAAGGAAAAGCTAAACAGTTTCTCAATTTTCTTTTCCTTGACTTAGGTACTTAAAAACAATTTTTTGAAATACAAGTATGCAATCGAGCAGACACTTACCTGCTAATTTTTTCAAATTAAGTAGAACTTATGTCAACACGAAAGTTATATAAATTAGTAATGTTGCCAAAATTTAAATCTAATATCAACCTTGAATACCATTTTAAATTTCTTCTGAAGATAATGTCTGGATTCGGATACTTACACGAACAATGTTTTTTTTTACTTTTTCATAAATAAATTCCCTATTGCAGAACAATTTGATTACATATTCTGCCATCAATACATTTAATCCAAGTGGAATTAAAAACATGTAAAATTTCATGTCCAGAATGTATATGAATTCTATTGTAATTCTGAGATTTATGATTTAAATTAGAGAAAAAATGTAAGATTATTTAAGAGTACCGATTAAGTTAAAATGATATTAAATACAAACATTCTGAATTTAAGCAGGTTTTTTTTCATAGCTATTCCCATTTCATGGGAAAACTTTTATCAGTGTGTGGAAAATTCGAAAACAGTTTAAAGAATGAAATAAATAAGTAGTGATTGAAACGCCTAGAAAAACGATTTCACCTAGAAAAACGTACAGACATTTTTTACAAGAAAATACTTGAGGCTAATAAAATACGTCTCAGACTTTGCAAAATGCATATTCGTTAAATGTCAATCACAGTATTTTAGCTTGTAAAAATGAAACCAGTATTCAATTTGATAACGAACAACTATATTAAATTAATCAGTTCGTTTATGTATGAAATGGATATGAAACGTCGGTATGATCTTATAATCTTTCACGTCTATCACATGTATACATCGTTATAATAAAGATTACATATAATAATTAACTTAGCTCATATTAATATGTATTGTTGCATGTGTATCGTTATAACAATGAATTGTTAGTTTAATTAAGATGTGAACGAATACCTGTGAATTTAGAATACATTCATAGGAAAGCCCTAATGATAATATCGTCTTCAGTAATCACAATAGTGTTCAAAAAATCACAAAATAATAAATGATATTTAAGTCAAATTGATAAGCACTAATTTGCAGAATTCCCATATTTTACTAGTTGTTGATGAAACAGTTATTTCTTTTAGGCCTTAAATCAACACTTCTAATTTGTAAGACGACGATTTCTTCCTACTATAAGAAAATAGGAAAACAGTCCATTGATCATACAAATTATAACAAGAATAAAAGAAAAAAGTATACATAACTTTCTCTGAAAGACCAAATTCGTGGATTGTTATTTTTCTAAGCATCGTTAAAGTTCAAACATAAGCATTTCTTTCTTCTTAAATTTTAGGCATTTAATTCTCCTGAATAGAGCTGGGAATTTTCTTTGCAGTGAATGAGTAGAAGAACTATCCATGCAAGATCTTCATAAGCTAGTAAATTAGAAGTTTTAAAAAGATTTTTCAGATAGCTTGATTTTTCGTATGCAAGGAAAAAAACTACCTTTTTCGGAGAAAATCATTTTCATTTTTGAGTGTCACATTTCTCTCGAATGAGTTCTTTACATAAAGTCTACGATAGAGATCTGCAATGAAGAAAAATAGAGCAATATCATTTCGAGAATGCTGAAATGCTAGAATAAATATTGTAAATTAATTCAATAGCAGTATCAGTAAATCAGTTTGGATTGTAGACCCAATATTAGGGATATTTCGCTTTAACGTTGTATGCCTTTTTTGAAATCGCATTCTTGTCTAGCTTCACAATCTGGCTGCTCCTGATCTGACAAAGCAAATTAGGCATTCTTGTTTTGAAAAGCTGTTTATCTCGAACATTCCGTAACCTCGAACCTTGCGAAAACCAAAGATTCGAAAAATTAAATACCATAAATTTGAGTGTAATAACTATATCTACATTCAATCAATTGAAAGCAAGACTCTCTTCGAAATTTGAAGCTTTATAGATTACAATCTCTTATCAAAGTAAACTTTTAAGTTACATAACCCTCAAAGAATAACACAAAAATTTGTGAAGCGATAGAAATAATAAGATGGATGATATATAAAAGATGAAAGTGGTGCTTTCTGGCAAAAAAGGGGGTACAGCGTTTGCAAACATGAGATAAATTAAATCATAATTAAAATAGCAGTTGTAAGATTAAAAACAAAGATAAAAAAACAAGTTGCTTTGGTTCAAGTCATGAGAAAATATCTCCAATTAAAAAGTAGAAAATTATAAAATAATTGAAATTTTACATTGAAAAAGAGAACGAATTGTGAATTTTTGCAAAGGGATCTTTGAAACTTTAATGCTTCAAAATGTTTTTTCCCTTTTATAATATTTCAAATCTTTTAGAGTGCAAGTTGCTGTTACCTCTTAAATGATGATGAAGTCTTTCAATCTCAGCATGTAATCCAGTCAACATCTGAGAATTTTCGTTTTGCAAAAAGGATATTTGAGCAGTTTCATGACGACGCCACATATCATCTCGTTCCTGAATTGCTGCCGTTATACGGTAAGCACAGATCTCATTAATCAAATTTCCAATTTCACCGAGTTCGGCTTTCTAAAATTAATGAAAGCTGATTAGCCAAAAATCATCGCTGATGTCACGTCAAAAAAAATGTTAACGCCAAACGTTTCATATGCTTTCATATTCACATATGTGTACTTTTTTACTTCACTTCATCGTTTCATTTCCCAACATACATTCGGATATTAGGCATAGCTTTCTAAAGATCATTGCATGATGGTACGTTTTTCAGCCAATCGAACTTGGGAAATATGAAATATGTCTTGATTTTTATGTTGTTATCCTAATTGTTATGAGGTTCTCAAGCCGAATTTAAACTAAAATATTCTAAAAATGATTGCATGGGAGTAGGAATTGATATGACATAAGGATAAACAAGCCAAAATCACTGATGAAGATATAAGTATATCAACAATTAAGAGGCTATACGCATGCCTAATTACATATCCTTATATTGCATGCTTATTAATTGCTAATTTCAATCTTTTTTCGATTCATTATTCGCTGAAAATTTCACACAATGTATCGTTTTATTTCAGCTATACTTTTTTGATTCCATGAAATTGCAAATGAATATTGCTCTCATTTGTCACATTATAAATTATCCAAATTTTGTCGAGAAATTATATGGTATATATATATGTATATATGTACTTTATTATTATTTATTAGGTCATTAACGAAACTGCTGTGTACAAAAATACAAGAATAATCAGCTTTACTTCGTTACCTATAGGAAAATTAACGAACAAGTGATCTTTGGTCCTCAGATACGTTCTATAGATTATCAGATTTTAAGGATAGATATCGATGTCGTAATATGATCCAAACGAAAAGAAATGGGCGGATTCCCAAATTATCAAACTGTATATTAACTTCAGTCAGAAAACTAGCACACATTTGTACGGAATAGTCTACCTATCTACAGAACAATTCCAATTTTCGATTATTAAACTCATTTAAATACTTTAGTTAGCGCAACATTTTGAAATGCTTGGCATACATGCATTTGCTAACCGAAATGAATTTTGTTACAGCCTGTGCAGTTGCTTCTTCCACGTTTTGATCGAAACATTGTATTTCAGCGATACATTTTGAAAGATCAGTGACTATGCTGATTGCTCTTTCTTTCGATAACAGTTCTAGTTTCGGCACTGCTAAATTTTAAAATTATCAAATTCTTAGCATTTAAAGCTAGATCAGCAATAGATTGATTTAACAAATCATTTAATTCAAATAAAATAATATTCCGATAAAATCCTTATTTTCTACTCAATTTATATGCAATTTTCAAGTTACATAAGGTCATCTACAAAGAGAATATGATTGATCACCGACATCAGGTCGATCAGATCTACAATTACCTTCATTCGGAAATTCCAAAGACTGAACTGAACTTTGAAAAACCCAAAAAGTAGTTAAATAAGATCGATCGAGGATCGCTAAGAAGCCGAAGTTGATCTAACTTCCAAGTACATCTATCTAAAAACTTCCAGTACATCTACGTAAAAAAGGACGATGCATAGTGTCATATTACATTTTCCTGGTAATTCGATCGATTCAACATTCTTTATAAAATGTGTAAAAAACTTAGTGAACTAATCCAAAAGACAATTTAATCAAAACAAAACCTTTTGACGGTTGCGCACAAAGTGTGGATGGCATATTCGTTGCAGACAAATTGTTGATAATTTGCCCAAAATTTCTTAAAATAAAACTTATAATACCATTTGAAATATTATTCAAATCTTCAAAAAAAATCACAGCAATATATTTATTTTTTATCATAGTGCAAGCAATTTGATAATAAAAATAAGTTTCAAATTTATGATACCAGCGTTTGATAATTTTATCCATGAGATTATGTGTTACTATCTCAAGCACAACATGAGATGTACACGCATATATGTAAGGTATAGCATAGTAATAGAAAGAGAATGGATGAAAGAGGGAAACATCGTGAAAAATTAATAATAGTGTAATGAATGAAGAGAAGGAATAAAACAATGAAGAAAAGCAGGTGCAGCTTCTATAGATGCACTATCCATATTGGTTTTATAAAAAAATTCTTCATTCCATGACTTTTAATATTTCATCGATCATTTCATCCATCCTGTTATTACTGCTAGCAATGCAAAGTTAACCAATAATCAGTGGAGAAATGGAATTAAAATATCATTCTCTCTTTTAAAATCACTCTAATCCAAGTAACATTGATAATCAATAAATCATAAAGCTCTGTTTACTAATCATATCCACAAATTTGCAATAATTAAGTTTAATGTTCTCGATGATATATTATTAGCAAAATACGATTGATACAAATGTATGAGGCGTAAAATTTAGAAAGAACTAAAAAAGATAAAATAAAATTCATTTCCTCGTTTGTGGGATGTCAGAATTTGAGGGAGAAAAATTGGAATATGTTGCCAAAAAAGTTTAATTAATATGAACTTTAGAAATTGTCGACAAAATTTTTCCGAAAATTATCGATTCAAGCCAACCCTTCATCGTTTTTTTGTGACATTTGAAATCTCAAAAATTAAATCCAGTAGTTTGCAGACTTGAAATGAAATTTATATTATTTAGTGAGGGTGGAAACCTATGGGGGTATGGCTACTTAAGATCTAATAATAGGACAGAATGAAAAAAGCCAATGAGTTGTTGAAAAGCAGTATTTTCATGATAAGCAGCGCTTTTTGACATCTAGCAAGGCAATTTCATCCTTCCATTTGCAATTGAGCATTTCCTTACTTCTTTCGCCTCACACTATTAGAAATGAGGAGCGTCCCAATAGGATGTATGAAGCAGTAAAATTTCTTCAAAATTTAAGACTAAATTTGATGTCATTTTTAAGTGGGAATAGCAGAGGGACTTTTTTGCGCCTCTAAAATTTATGTTTTCATTTTTTCGAAATTAAACCAAAAAATTTTATAATTTAGAATGATTAATCATATTTGACGCTTAAAACTCAATCGTTCAAAATGAACTACGACCTTAGGAATAGTTCAAAAGAGAAGCAATCTTCAACTTTCATTCATTCTTTCATTGTAATTCATTGAAATAAGCAAATGAGCAAAAAAAGAAAAAAGCCTGCAAAACTGTTATGTTCTTTGATAAGTGGTAGTAAAAGATTATATTTTAAATTGCAGCATTTCTGACACTAATTTTACTTTATATTTAAACTTTTCTACTTAGCCATTCAATGAGAAAATTAGCATAGCAACAAATCACTACAATCAGTAATTTAGTAAGAAATGATTGCTGTTTATTGACTTCCTCTTGAAATTAGCGAAAAAAAATAAAATAGAATGCTAAGCAAGATTTCTCAATTTTAACAAACCTACAGGAAGTCATAAAATAAAAGTAAAAAACTAAATTGGATAACTTTTTCAGATGTTCTTCCTGAAACTCTTTTAATCAATATGCTACGTTTGAAATTGCAAAATCTATTTCTCCCTGCTAATTTTAATTTCACATTTATTTGATGAGCAAAAATAATTTGCATTTAAGAAGAGCATAGCAACGAAGAGCGAGCGAGACTGCACACAAAAACCTGGCCAATAGTGCAAATATTGCTTGTTGAAGCTAAATTTAATGATGCCAATTCTCAGGCGATATGAAACGAAATGGAAGCAGCGTCCCAATATCCTTTAATTTATTGCAAATATTCTTCTCCATTATCAACAACTGGTTTTTTCCTTTGTTTTTTCCTTTTGTTCACTTTTCTCATTCTTCCATTTTAAAACAGAGAAATATTTCTGTGTCTGATTTAGAGCATTAATGTTGTTAAGTAATGCAATAAGACATATAGATAGACAATGTAGATGAGTTCCTTCTTGTTGAAATGGGTAGGATAGTATTACTGTTGAATGTGAGTGAGTGAGTGAGTGAGAGAGAGAAAATGGACGATACGATGACAATGACAATTCTCAATTCTATTTATTTATTTATACGGTCGATGTCTATTTGCTTCCGCAACGTTCGGTTATTAAATAACTATGTAGCGTTATACATAATGGTTTATTTTTGTACACATCGTTTACGGATATCTTTTAACAGAGCCTTTTTTTGATTGCTGTATTTTTTTGGAATTTAAATTATAGAAATTTGATATGTTATTTGCAAAAATTATATAGATATTCATCCCATATGTTTCCAATTATTGGTAAAAAAAGGAAACAGAAATTTAGCATTAGAAGATATAGCACCAAAAATCGAAGATTAAAAATGTGATAGTGTTCTTTGATATATCATTCAATTGTGTTCTTAGATCGAAATCGAGAATTGAATGGCAAGATTGGATTCTGTACATCAGCGGTTGTTGGACGAATGGCGACAAGAATCGAAACGAGATCTTTCGCAGCTGGAAATGGTACTAAAAAGTGCGGAGGTATGATGTTTTGCATATCTCTTGTGCATTAGTTAAACCTTACAAATGAAAGGTAATAGTGACTTAAAATGGTAAAGATTATATGGAGTATTACAAATAAAAAAATAAAAATCAATACAAATGACAAGTGATAACGTATACAGATGGAAGTTGAATGCAGGAAGCTGGTGGTTGAATGGAATAAGGAACCGAAAAATCTCGGAATGATTGATACCAGATTGAAGCGGATTAAGGTGTGTTTGATACATTATCGACTTTTTATAAACATTTGTGGAAGATACTGTTAGTTTATCCTGTAATCATTCGATGATATGTAATATCGCAAAACCTAGAAGATGTGTGTACATCTAGCTTTGTGACAGTTATTAAAACCTGTGCGTTAACTATCTCTCACATACACCGATCTACACTGAGAACTAAACTGATGGATACTTATTCATGAGCTATTTCATTTCAACTAGAAGATTGAGATGTTCAAAAAATGTCACGTACTGTTTTGTTTTTCAGGGATTAATGAACAACAGAAACGCTTTGCGTGGTCTTAGTCATCAGACTTTACTTATGATTCATCGTAAGTTTTACTTTGTCATTACTAAAATTGTTGGAATGTAAATTTGTTAGTGTTTTGCTTGTGAAGTTTAAACCTGAACTTTTTTCGCGATCTTTTAATTTAATCATTCATTATCTCTCAAATTGGTTTACAGGAGATGTTTTCGAGATAGATGCTTTGTGTGCCATACTCAAATCTGATCTGGACTCATTTCGTGAAGCTATCACTACTCTCATTAGTTTCTACAATTGTTATGGGTAAATATGAAGACCTATTAGAAATTGCATAGGTGAATCATTGCTTTATTATTTTAATATCAATTTAATATTTGAATTTTAGTTCAAGCGAAGAATGGCCAAATAAATGGTTGATGATTGGCTTAGACCTTATGTTCCTTTCGGCTACGAATCAACACTCTCAATTCCACATGGTATTTTGATATTAGCGGATGAAATTTGATTATATTGTCTGTTTAGAAATAATTTTTGAAAAAAAGAGAAATACCTATAAAAAAAGGGGATCGATAAGATTGTCTTTTAATATCGTGTGTCTTCTGAAAAACTACAAAAACTTCATGGGAGGTTTTCTGGAACTTGAATGAACAATGAAGCGAATCGATCTGTTCTTATTGTAAGTTGCTAACTTCAAATGAAATGTTGTAGTTATTGGAACAGATCGATCAAGATATCCAGCAGAAGAATTCATATATTAAGATACCGGTGGCACTAGAACAATCGCTTATTGAGGGTGCTTATCATAAGGTACCTATTTCTTTCAAAATGATATTTGTGACTAATCTGGAATAAATAAGATTAACACCTTAATCAGGGTCTGATAGACTTATTAAATGAAACTCCTTTATCTCTTACTACTAGTTTGACTTGTTATTTCAACAGTTATATATAATTCCCATAAACTTCGCTATAAATCACTGCAGATAATGCTAACGGAAAAGAATATTCCAAGTCCTTACTACGCATTATTCATACGTATATCAATGGATACAGTACGGTGAGTTTTCCTCTTATCCAGAACGATTCAGAAGCTTGACCAGAGAGAATCAATTATAGGGATGAAATAGCTTCATGTATGGAACGTGCATTCATCAAAATATCACAGCGAGATGCTGCACGACTACTTCTGTTTAATGATGTTAATGAAATGATGTCTTTTGCGGAAAAGGTTATTTTTTTTCGCGACAGCAGTACTCGAACTTCATTATTTAGAAAGCTTGGGAAAATATGTAAATTCTTATTTAATAACATTCGGTAATTTGTGTTTATAAATACTGAGTTTAAATAATTTTTCAAGACTATACGAACTATATCTTTCAAATGTGAAAGACTTCTTACCATGTTCCATATAGTTAAGCAATCGGCAAGAACCGAAAACTTGAAAAATAGAGAATCTCATGACCACGAAAGTGTCGGGAAGTTTTACACTTTGAAATTGTGGAAAAGTAGCGACATTACTCCTGACTTTCCTGAACTGAGCGCGAATGAGAAGCCAGCGATCTTGATTATTACATCAATTAATAAAATCGATGCAACTTCACGAAGCGGACAGAACAATTTCTGGAGTACATTGGAAATCTGAGTTACAAACCTATCTTGTATTGAACATGGATATCGTATCTAATGATCAGACATAACTCACCGTCAGTCAGTAACCCAAAGAATTCAAAACAATCAATCAATATTGTCATATACCGTTACGAATCAGGCACACTTTGAGCTCATTGTAATCTTTAAAAGTTCATCCATCCATGGAAAGATATCTAAGTTTATTTGATGGAGTGGAGAATGTAATCTGGACACTGTTCAAATTCTTTTGAATTATTATTTATTAAAGAAATGTATTCGACTACTTCTTTCATAGCGTATTTTTTTGCTTCTAGTAACTTCTGAAGTGCCATACTTCCTTTACAGCGCGGCTGGAAGAGCAGTATGTATGGTCGTGGTGTTATGTACGTATTTGATCATGCACAGGAAACCGTAAGTTTTTGTTGTGTCTAATTTTTACGTGCTTTTCGGAGCTTGGTCCAACGCACGTGATTTCAGCACGTGGAGCCACGGATAGATACTGAAAGGATCGCCAAACAAGCCATTTATTACGCGAAGCAGCTCGAAATGATCGTATAATGACGTTGGCTCACTATATTCGAATACTTCCGCACCAAATGAATTTTAACTTCATCGGCTATTCTCACATATCGTTTATTTTATGTGTATTTTAATGAACTTTTAAATAGTTTTTAGAAATTACAATAGTCAAAATCATCCTTCTTGGAAAAGAAGAAGAAAGGATGCTAAGAACAAAAACAAAAGTATTTATTACATTAATACAAATAATTAAGAGCAATATAATACAATCATGATTTGCATAAATGACTATAATATTTCATACAAAAAGTGGAAATGACGTAAATTACATAAGCACTTCTAAAAGTTTTATAAATATTAATCCATGAAATATTGCAAACACCGAACGACATCTGCACAAAATTCGATATTTGTGAATATCCAAAAAAACCTTTATTTCCCGATATTTACTGTATTGTGAAGATAGAGAATATTTCTTAATGATAAGGCATATGCTAAGCAACAAGTACTAAATATAGCGCTGAAATATATCAGAGGGTAACAGTACTGTTTACAATTGCGAAGTCATACAATAGGAAGTCACAACTTAACATTTGTTAGTATAAACAACGACAAACAAATAAAATAATAGGAAATGATTATAGGTTTTGCACAAACTTTTTTAAAAAGATTTTTATATGCGTTAATAATAGAACACGGAACACGACGCAAAGATGGCAAAATATTCTGCTTAAGTCCGATTAATAAGTTTCTAATTCAGAATCTTAATCTTGGCTTTTTCACAGGCGATTCGCACATTGTCTGAGTTTTCCTAAATTCTTTATCTTGATCTGTATCACTCATCACCTCATAAGTCGATGTAGGGGGTGGTGTAGCAGGGAAGAAATCAGTACTACTTTTGCCATCATGGTTATTGCCACCTGTGTCAATGTTCATACTTTCTTCACTCCCATCTTCGGTATTGGTATTGCCGATGCTTTCCGCTATCATAGATTCCATAGTGACTACTTCATAGAGTTTCTGTACAGAAGGTTTTCCAAATAGATCACTGAAGCTGGTGTTGGACACAGGAGCTGAAGATCTTTCTCTTATAAAATCCATCTTTGAAAGTGAAGACAAATGTTAATAAGAACAAGTTAGAACGAACCATTAATTGAGCTCAGATCACATCCGTCAACAATAACGGACAGAATATTTAACAACGGTCGAGTTATGTGAGAAAAGACCTGAAATTTAGTATGTGATCAAGAAAAGCAATTCATGACGTAAGATAAATTAAAATACCAGAAAAGTTTTCTCCATTCTTCAGTGATGAAAACTTTCAGAGAACAAGCAATTGCTTGGGACCAATCGGCTTCAAAGAGATATCTATTCGATTTGATAGAAATCCTATAGCCCAGCTTTGTGAGGTAAGATATTTAGTTGAAGAAAATTTTTTTATCTTATTAATAAACCTAGATTCTAGTATGGAAATCATAAAAGAGCACTGGAAAATAACAAAAGAGGAAAAGTTACATAATCCATGGAATTCAAATGTTGTCCGAAAAAATGCCATTTCAGAGTTCGCTTTCCAACAATAATTTCAAGATTAAATTCCAGCGCTTTATCATTCTTACTTTCATCTGATACTTTCGTTGTTGGTGATAGGAACATATTGCGAACTTTTTCTAATAATGTCTTTTCTGGACCACCTAATTTGGCATTCAGTGATGAAAATTTTTTCACGAAATCAGCAATTTCATAGTATATGCATTCGTAATCAGTCAGTATTATGTGCAACTGTTCAGCCTTAAATGATAAATTAAAATAAGTAGAGCAATTATACTATCCTAAGATTGTTTTCCAGATATGAAACAAACAATGGAAAAACATTATTCGCTTGAGACCAGTTTTTTTTGTCGCGAAGAACTAGCTAAAAATCACAAAAGTGTCTTGCATATGTTACAACTCGATTTATTTATGATTGCATCAAACTTTTACTGAAGGAGCTAAAAAACACATACACAAAGTTACCTATCTTTTGATCTGTGAAATATTTTTACCTCTTACATATGTTAACCTATAATTGTGGTATTGAACTTATAAAGCAGATAAATTAAACGCAGCACGTGGCTTTGTTAAATAATCTATGTAATACTTTGTATTCAAATATTTAATGAATAAAGAAAAATCCATATCTTCAGAATATAATAGAGATGAATAAATAAAACGTTCTTCTTGTTATAAATGAGTGAAGAAGTATATCTCCAATAAAATCAAAATCAAAAAATACCTTGACATGAAATTTAGCAGCATAAGGCTTATTAGCCAATTTAAAGCCCAATGGTGCCCAACAAATTTTAAGCAATTCAGCATTCACATTTGCATCCATCAAAATTTTGATTAATTTCTTAACGTAAAAAATGTTCCTCGTATTTCGCAACGAATATCGGTGAAAAAGTTGAACTCGCAAATTCGAAGTCCTCTTATCCTTTGCCAATCAATAATGTACTTCCTGTATCTCATAATGAAAAAATAATCTAATCCTTATTTATTTCTGGAATATAAAAAAAGAGTTCATGCAAAATCTGACGACAAATTGTTTTACAATATTCGATTTTAAAAATAATTAAATTGTAAAAGTTCTCATCAAAGAAACAAATGACCATTGTATAAATGGTAAATATTTCTCATAGCCATTTCATCTTACTTGAAAGTAATATTTATTGAAAAAAACGATTCATAAAAAAAAACATTCACAAAGAAAAATACAAATAAATTGAGAATATCACGAATATTCGGTCTAATTTTATAACATCTACTGTACTCTCTTTTTATTTTCAAATGAAAGAGATACAGATAGCTCTGATAATCAGTACCATATTGATATAATATTCAATTCATCACTATGAGAAAAATAAACAATATTTATGTCATGTATGCAAAGTCTTCATTATTTCCTGAAAGCCACGTATGATATTATCCGTATGATATCATCCATATGATATTATACATTAGCTAAATACTCATTACTAAAAAAATCATAATAAAAAAAGGACATTCTGAAAAACATGAATATATGCCACTTTAAGAATTAAAAGAGCAAACACGGTTGAATCTGCTTAAAGATTTTGTTATTCAATGGATGAAATGATTCATTCAGTGTTTAATCAGCAACTAATTAATATGATATAATGAGTACCTCTGATATACTGAAAGATTTTTTTTAGCTCACAAAAACCGGAAGATAACCATTCTATCAGCAAATTCCGTTAAAATCCTAGGATCTATGAGTTAAAAATTTCTTTGATTTTTCTACGCTCTTCCACTATTATCTTTAACAATAAGTTAAGCATAATGGATAACAAAAAAGAAAAACTAAAATATCCCGCACTGCTATGTCCAGCATATTAGAATGAAAAATTATAAAAGATTTGTTGATAGAATACTCCTTCTGAATAAAATTTTTGAATCCACAATAAAGAAACAATAGGGAACAAATCACCAAGACCAAAACTGACAAAGTATATAGCGTGCAAAAATCGTTTAATTTATTTAATATCATCAGATACCCGTTAATCACGTTTTTGCTCTTTATCAACAAGCAGCTAGATAGATACCGCTAAAACTATTGAACACGGGGTATGAGATCACAGATACCACTAACAACAAATCCTATAAACAAATGTTTTTGTGATAACACACTGTGTCTTCTAGAAAGCTTCATTTGAATTTAAAAACATAATGACATTGAAGTACCAAAATTAAAACATGATACATATGAAGTGATGTTGTGAGAAGTAAATGTAATAAAAGTAACCATCTTCAGATGCAAATTCAAAAGTATCGAATTCGAATTCAAACATTGTTGTCGAATTGGTATATTCAATTTGTAATGAAAGTTCTCGTATATTATGTTGGCACCAAGAGAATTTACTACTCACAACATTCGCTTCTTAGATTTCTAAAATTGTAGACTAAAATAAATACTAAAGATTTTACAGCGAATAAATGATGCCATTAAAAGTTATTTGCTAGAGAAAATGTCGATTTGCTCACATTATTCTGAATTTCTATGGCATCATGCCACGTACAGGTCCGTTTATTCTGGCCTGAAAATAATGAAAAATCTTTGGAATAAGCTTAAAAATTCAGAATTAGATCGTTTAATGTCACTCATATTTCATTATGATCTCAACATCTCTTTCATTGACTATCTTTATAATTATATTATATGAAGCTTTGCTATACAGAAAACATTTTTTTTAATAAAAGGCTATTTGGGATGTTTATTTACCTCTCAGCATAAAATAGAGATTGAGTGATTGAAGAAATGATTAGAAATGAAAACAAAAGTAACAGACTGTTTTTTTACGACTAATATAGTAAAGAATTGAATCAACTCTACATGAATCACACGACTGTTCTCATGACAGAAAAATAAAAAAAAATTTAACAGATGTAATTTTAATATCCCGCTTCTTCAATTTACCTCTTCTAATTCCTTTTGTGCTTTATCTTCGATTTCGCGAATGTCGGCCATTGTTAAACCGTACCAGTTATCCAGCCAACAAAACACTTCGCGATGAAATTTCGTAAATAAACGTGGATATTGCTTAAAATATGTTGAAGTGCTTTACCAAAAATTCAACACTGGCAAGAAAAGATCCCTCATCATACCTATTAAGACAACAAGAATCCCATTTGCTACTGATTCAAAAGATTTACAAGGAAACACAGAACTTACACGATGTGCGTAATTTTCGACTATTTTCGTTAGACCAAACCATTTAAAGTGCACCTTCACCAATTTATATGCACACATTACCGGTTCCATTGTTTCTTTCCAGCTTCCTACCAGAGGGCCACGCCCTGTTTTCACGCTTTTGAACTTGGATGGTGTTGTTTCTGACCTGATATCCTGTAAGTCTTTTGAATACATTCAATCCAAAAGGTTTTTTATGTATGTTAGTTTTAAGAAATAATTACACAAAATTAATCAGCACGAAACCAAGACACACAGCAGATGTAAGAAAGAATCAGCAACATGTCAAGAAAAGCCAAGAAAAAATTTTCACTGTCACAGATGAAAGTCAAAAGGTATGAACTGAAGTTTTAAATCAAGATGAAGAACATGAATTATTTTAAAGTCATCATTACGCGCAAATTAGAAATCAATAATAATTTGAATTGAAAAATGCTTACATTAGCAGTTAAATATGAAGTGTCATTAGCAATATCAAGATCAATTACTTCACGCTTAGCAAGATCTTCTGGACTTAGATTATGCGCATTCTGCGTGGTTCCTCGATCCGGCAAGTGAATTGTTTCAATATGGATGAAAAAATCATCTCTCATATAATCAGGATTCTGCAACATCATAATATTTCATTATTTCTGAAAATGCAACTTATTAAATCAATTGACTAAAAGTTACCTATGAACGAATCATCTTTGAATAATGCTTGACTACCTAAGAGGGTTCGTAACTTTGAATAAGAGCATGAAATTTTACTACTCTTACCTTTTCCGACATACCCATAAGATGAATGTAAATGGAGCTTAAATACACAAAAAATGAATTGTAAAGTGGAACTTAATTACATAAAAGAAATAACACAAAATAGCATACCATTAAACTGAGTATATACAATGCTACACAAACAACTTTCTATATTTCAAAAGCATTGTAAAGCAAGAAATATTCATAACAGATGTCAACCGTAAATTAATCTACTTTCCTAGGAGAAAATTTTACTTGCAAGGATGCTTTGGAACTTAGCACAGTTCGAGCTTAGCGAACATATCTCCACTGTCTGGAAATATGCTAAACTGTATATTGTTTTAACTGACCGTGAGAACCGTTTTACAATAAGGATAAGCATTCCACGCTTCTTCGTGTATTGCTAAAGAACCTTTCGGCGCACACGTTCTTACTATTGTCGGCACTTTTCTAAAAATTGATGTAAAATGCGGATTTAACAATTAAATAAATAAGCTAAATAATCAAATAATACAAGACTAATCTTTAAACTCTTTTATGGTATAAAAGTTCAGCTTGAAGACTCCAAGGCCACATTCATTTTCTTTAACCGATAGTGCGAATTATATTTTGCAAAAAAAAATGATGTAGTTGAAAATATTAAACTTCACTTTAGTAGGTGCTTTTGTAAAAAGGGTCCCAATGGATCTGAGTGGCGTTTATTTAAGCAACAGAAAAACTTACGTTTGCAAATGATATATTTTATGCGTGTATTGACCACATGAGTAACGTCCGTCAAGCAGTGGATAATTTTTGAATGGTTCATTCTTCAAAACTTCAACACCTTCACCACCACCTGTTTCAGCTTTCGATGCCTCGGCAACAGACCAGAGTTGACCAATTTGATACTCTTCGACCGTCATCGGTAGAACCAATCGACTACAAAAAACTGCCTTTTTTCTGTGTAACTTTTGTTGAAATGTTTCAACAAAAATTTGAAATATTCCTTTTTATTATACCAATACTTTTATAATTACATTTGTTATTGAAAAGTAATTTATATATAAACATAAAGTAATTCAAGTCAAATAACTAAAATTAAGCTTACTATTCTTTCACGATCATGTCGTCACTGCTTCCAGCAAAACACCGTTCGTTATCGAATCAGTGCTGAAATGTTTCACATAAAATAGAAAATGTTATCGAGTAATGAATCACAGCTCAACATCGCCACTTTAATGCTTACGATATCAAAGTAATTACATTTTAGAGGTGAAAGAAATGTTAATTTCTTCAATAACAAATAAGGAAAATTTCCCGAAACAAATTTTGGAACATAAATGTTGAAAATCATTACAGTATAATTAAATATACATAACATTGCGTATATTATTTATATCTTTTCTTGCAAAAGTTTTCATCTGACAAAAAACACCTAAGCAATTTAATTTTAAGTCTAAAAATCGGCCTAAGTCCATCTGATAAACTAACAACTTTCATCTCTAATTTCTTTGTAAGAAAGTCATAATTCAATTGATATGTATACAATTTAGTGATATGCATACATTTCTACCTATTTGCATTTATCAATTTTCAATATAAATTTCCTTTTGAGATATAAATTTTCATCAATTTTAAATTTAAATTTTCCAATATAAATTTTCATTTGAGAGACGTTTGAAAGCTTTGGCAAAGAGTTGAATTGATAGAGCTGAAGCAGAATTCGGAAATGGTTGATTAACTGCGATGATTCAGTTTCCCTTTTTCGAGAAGCAAACAAATTCTATCGGAATGAATACTTCCATTAGCGAGTATTTTGACATACTCGTCAAAATCAGAGCAGAAGTGAAGATGTGTAGAGAAGTGCTTTTGGATAAGCTATAAAAGGAGTAAGATTGTAAATAGACGGAGAAATGATAAATTCATTCGGGGTGAGGAAAAACAATAACCGGAGTGCTACGTGAAAATACATTCTGAACAAGGGATAAAAGCATCCGACGAGTGTTGATTTGTGCAGACTTAACTAATTCAGATAGTGAGCAAACAAAGAAGATGAAATAATTTGATATCTACAGACGTCAATCGACAATGTCACCCTACGCAAGCTACACAATGATATACATCTCGTTGTTATGTAAGAGGACAGGTACTTTAATATTGCTGTCCCATCTGAAGTTTACGAGAAGCGGCAATTTAAACATAGCAAATGTTTATCGAAAGGTTTTTACTGAAAGGCATCATTGATTATACAAGACGAAATGTCAATATCGATTGGTCCGTTAGTTTTGTGCTTGAATTGACCGAAATCCTTTCTCGAATATTGCTCAACAGTTTTCTACTCTTCATGGAATATTGTGAATGGGAAGATTTGAAGGTAAGGAAGGATGGGAAGATTTGATATTATCACAAAATTAATTTGTAATAATTACTCTCATAATTAATTAGAATGCAGAATTATTTCCGTAATTGATTTTCCACTGAATTTCGGTATAGCATTTTTAAGAAGCATTAAAAGAATAACATTTGCATTATTTCAAACGTCTCATTACATAAATTTTCAAAATCTATGAATAATTTAATAAAATTGGGAATTTCAAACGAATATGAAAATTTAAGTTTTGCAAAAAATGAAGAAGTCAAAATCAAAATAATGCTTCTAATGGCAAATTTTCTCAAATTAAAAACTACCATTTCGATTGAATAATATTTCTCACAATTTATGTTTGAAAATATTAGTTATCGTATAACTTCCGCCTATCTGATAGTAAATTAGAATTTTATGCAGAATGATCCAAATTTGCATAATAAACAAAAATTGAAATGTAATTTGCATTTGTTAAGAAGTCTTTAAATAGCATGCCTTAAACAATGATATTCATTTTATATCCAAAACGCCTTACCTTACTGCTGGTCGCCCAACAATGGAACACTGACTTAAAATAAAAAGAATCGATTTGTTAAAATTTACTGGAACAGTTGATAGACCCCTGGCAGTAAGAGGATCACTGACAATGCCGTATCGACGACGTTCGCGATCACATTCACGGAGACGCAGAAGTCGTTCTCGTACTCCACGCAGGGATGTTGTATCACTTTCATTAGTACCCGTAGGGCGTCGTCGACGGTTACGCTCACGTTCACGATCACTTTTGGGTTATGATTTGCTAGAGCTATTATCAAGCAGAAGGCGCAGACGGTCGAGATCAAGATCGCGTCGGAGCTTATATAGACCAAGATCACGTCGTCGTCGCTCAAGCGTTCCTCGTCGTCGTTCGAGCTCTCGCCGTCGCCGATCTGTATCACGTCGCCGTATGCTCCCTCGACGTCGCCTTTCCCGTTCGCGCGGTCGTTCTCGTTCTCGCTCCGGTTCTCGAATATACCGTTATCGGTAAAAATAATATTTAGAGTGATAAATAATTCGGACTGTAAACATCTTAAGTAAAGATATTTTGAGTAAAAATCTGATAGTCAAACTTGCTGATTACAGAGTCCGTCGACGACTACGATGAGCAGCATGACATCAATAGAAAGGTTACCAAAAAAATGATAAATGGAAAGCTCTGTGATCAAAACCAAATCAAAAGAAATGAAGAAGTGAAGTGAAGACGTGGAAATCATTTATTTAATCGACTGTATAATACTGAATTATCAATTACTGGAAAAAAATTAAGCATAAAACAAATAAAAACTAACATGAATGAATAAATTTCTCTTTGATTTCTAGATAATTTTCATTGAAATTTAATTTAAAAAAAAAATCGTGTCGAAATTGTTCCGACTATTGACAGTACTTTTCATTGATGATCAACGATAGCTATCCTCTTATATATATACTTTCGAAAATCTGAAAAAGCATTTAAATGATATTCTTTAAAGATTTATTATGGAAAAATAGTGCTGAATTGTTGAATTTTTCTAAATTAGAAATTCTGCTCTTGAACTTTCAATACCTTCAACTTGAACTCATGACCTTTTGACAATTTTGCTGAAACTTGGAGTTACCATTATTAATCGAATTAGTATAGAACTGATTAATACGTGGTGAAACGGAAAATTTTGCCATTTGAGATAAGCATGAAAAGAGGATAAAGGTATAGCAATATGCTATATATTCAAAACGGTTTTTGTTTCAAAATACTATTTATATCATCGTAAGATATTTGGAATTTGGAACTGTCACTGTCAGCAGCCATTAGGAATATAAAAGTTAGTTAGATAAGAAAAGAAATAAAAACAAATGAATACAGTATTGTAATGATAAAGTGCACAAATTAAGCTTCTTATCATCATTCTATCAGAAATTAGCAATAACATCAAAGACAAATCACTCTAATATGATCTATAAAAAGTAAATAAATAACTGACTGACATGCCAAAACAAATTATAAAACAATCTCAGAATAGTTGAGATGGAATGAAAAGTGATTTGAAAAGAAAATAGAATCATTGAAAAAAAAATAATGTCTAATAAGCGCCAGCTGTTTTCTTACTATTCCTCAACTGGCCTTGTTTGTTTTCTTCCTTTCTTTGTTCTCATCTCTTCTCAAAGACTCCCTGTAACACAGGATGTCCCTTTCATTTGTTATTCTAAAATTTATACATTATCACATGGAGAAGATTTGAATGAAAAATTAAATTGATTGATCTTAGATCATTAAATCATCATTAAACTAAAAGCGTTCTTTATGGTTAATCTGAGCAGAAAATATCGAATAACTGAGTGATGCATTTGATAATGCTAATTTAATGTAGGATGAAATTGATTTGTCAGAAACTAATCTCTAATCTCACTCCCTACCGAATAGAAGTCGAAAACTGTGAAAATGTATAGCTCAAATGGTTAAAACTAGTACTTTTTTATAGTGTTAATGACTAAGTAGCAATTAATTACTGAATGCTGACTAGGTAATATAATAAAATTGCAATAAGAATTCCATTAACACACATTATCATTTTAAAATACAAATTAATTTTTGCATTATCTCTTATCCGTTAAATGAAATGTACTCTCTTATTTTGGATTAGACATATTTATAATATAATTTATACAAATTTAAATTCCAAACTAAGAATAGAGTTAATTTGCACTGAACTTAATAAAGAGAAACGAATAACCACCGTAATTAGTATAGTTGCTATTAATCATTTCATAACTATGATAACAGTAAGAATTCATTTGATCACTCTTAAGTTTCATATATGAAAAGGATTAGAATCTGGCAATAACTGAAGTGATGTGAGCATTTGATGATGCTAATTTAATTGTGTTGACAATGAATGTCAAAATATCATGTCAAAAAATAGTTTAATTTATTACGCATCTTTCAACAATAAAAACATGCATTATTTGCTTTCGCTATTAGATTTTTCTCGATATAAGAGAATTTATAGCTTATATGACAGATGAAATTCTTAAACTTCAATTTGAAACCAACGAAAAAAAAAGAAATTAATAGGATTGGAATAATAATATTTACATATAAACAGGAAAAAATTCACAACCAAAGAATGAAAGTAAGTTCAGAAATGAAATTGAAAAACAATTTTTATCATATAAATTAGCTACCTATCTTTTTTGGTCGCAGTATATTTCAATCTAACAATACAATAAAATGCATCTGAAAATAGCTGATAACAATCGATAATTTTGCTATGAAGGCAGGCAGTGAAACTTCTTAGTCATAGGTAGACAAAACTGAATAAAAACTCCATTAGTGCTAACATTCGAAACTAATTATTATATTAATCATTTTACTAACTTATTAACATTTTATGAAGTTTTTTTTTCTTAAAAACTTTGAAGCATATATATTTCACAAAATGTGACTTCAAGTGATTAAAAATTAAAAAGACGCGCAAAGTGCACGAAGCATAGAGAATTCAAATTATGTTAAATCAATATGTCCTAATCCTACTTTCAAATATTTCTGAAAATAAACTGCTTTTCTTCATCATTTTATATTTCTGCTATAACGAATAATACAAAGGAAAGCAACTCCAATATGACAAAAATGTGGAAATAATGCAACACCAAAGTTTACTTTACCCGTCTCTTTTCCTTCCCAATGTTTGAACATTTTATTACCCATTAATTATGACCTCTAGTATTTCTATGTCTGATTTTGGAAAAAAACAATTCTTGTAATATAGTTCAGAAAAAAACCTTGTTGAATCTAAGTACGATTCAGAATCTTCTATCTTGAGCCCGAATAAATAAGATAAAGTGAAGAAATTATAATAAATTCATTCCAAATCAAAATATTCATAAAAACCAGAATTTGTGTTAACCATGTTGTAGATCCTTAACTTATTAGGTTAGCAACTTGAAACGATGAATTTCATGTAAAATTGAGATAATTAATGAAATTTAATTGCGCGTTACAACCTCCAAATCAGCAAATCAGGCTCATTGTCATCATCGACAACATAACTCTCACAAAAACCGGATTCATCTTCTACTCGTGGCGCTGCCAAGTTAACAATCGATTCATTTTCATCACTAGATTCGGAACGTCTCACCGAATTGATTGCCCGCTTTGGAATTGGTGTCCGATCATCCTCAATATCCACTATCACTTCATTGGTTTTGCTTCTTCGATCCATCAACATGGTTCGCTTTTCTTCTTTAATCCTTGCCAAACTTGTTGGTAGCAAAGTTCGAGCAGGATAAACAGTGTAAAATAGTTGTTGTTTTTGATGCTGAGAAAACTTTTGCTGAAATTAAAAATTTAATAAAAAAAATTCTTGAAACGATAATTCTGGAAGGAAGAGTTGAAAAATAAGTACAAGGATACCTGATCTGGGACGTCTAAACATTTATAATCCAGAGCTTATTATTTGTTGACAATTGAAAGAACTTTTAAAGGAAGCAAAACATTTCAAAAAATCTCGAATCTAACAAAAAAATTCATACGCTTCCAAAATGAACTTCATTAAATACAAAAAAAGATTCTAATTAGGTTGCCAAGATTCTAATTAACATGTGAATCGAAGACTCTTATGAATATCAATCAAAATTTAAGTCAAAGAATTTTAATGTATTTTAAAATTTTGAAAATTTTCGAATTTCGAGCAAAATTATTTTTTAATTTGCAAACATGCCGATGCAATAAACTAATCTGACTAAAAAAGTAGTCTTTATTAAAAGGGTTGAAATACTTAGTGCATGATAACAAATCAAAAGCGTGTAAATTAAGAAAAATGTGGGATGAATTAAATAAAAAACGTATCTTCATTACTATTGCTACAATGTAATACAGACCTTTTTAGTTCTTGGAAAAGTTTTTGGTGAACTAAATGGACCGATCGCCAAATCTTTCTTAGAAGCTCTATCATTTTCAAGTCTTAAAATTGTCGCTTGATGATTACCGGCATGATTGTAGCGAATGGTTGCACGCTTAGAATGAATCGAATTTAAAGTCTGGAAAGTTCTCCTTTTACGACAACTCATAAAGTTTATAATACATACAAAATAAAAAAGAAAAAAATCCGCCGTTTAGTCCATTCCTATGAAGCGAGAATAGGATAAATAGAAAAGAGAATTTAGCAAAAAAAAATAGAATACTAACAAATTATTCCACATTGGGAATGCTTTCTAAAACCAGAGATCTATGAAATATAAAAGAATCTGAAAATATAAAAGAGATCACTAACCAAACGACTCCGATTGTACTCCTCAGGTAACGCGCAATTCGGCCAAATAACATGTTTTGAAGTATCTTTGTATCGAAGTTTGATCATTGCACAGGTTTCAGAATCCAGCTTAAATAGATCGTTTGTTTTTCCAACCTGTAAACTTATTTGTTAAAAATTAGACATCAACTGCTGAAGTTATTCGAAAAAAATTGGAAAGAGAACATAACATCTTTCTAATTACTTCAAATATAATTACTGATACTATTTAATTATGTCATTTGTCATGTATGCATCAAATTTTCTATTGGATTTAATTCCCAATAGCACCATTTCAAGAACAGAATGAAAGAGCGAAGTATGACAATACAACATATCATGATCGTTGCTGGCTACTGGATAACTATATTGCAGCATGTAGCTAGCAGCTTAGCTGAAAAATAGAGAAGATGCACAATTTCAACGGACTTCTTCGCAAACAGAATTAGCAGCTGACAACTTTTAAATTTTAAAACAAAAAATTGCCATTGTCAAACTTTCTGTTCATACATTCTTTTTAATGTTATTTTTTTTTAAACTTTTGTTTTCATTCTAAACTAAAATGTATCGTTTATCAGGATTCTTTAGGAAATGTTGCAATTCCAAATCATAGCACATACATCTTGTATTAATTCTCTTTCGCAATTAATGATGCTGATCATCAAATCATTCCTTTAATACATTTTTTGGTTAAAATATTGTACAGATATATAGCATATTTTTAGATTTACAGTGGAAGGAAAAAATTAAAGATATTTTTAAGAATAGTCAAATTGTTGATGAAACTGTCAACTAATAAGTGACTTCAGGGACGTCATATTTCGATAAAACTAAGCCACTTTTAAACCATAAGAATTATGTTTCGAAAAAGCTGAACTGCTATTCTTTCAATGTTGCCATGAGACGTTTTGTATATAATATGCTTATCTTCTCAACATTCTCTCAGATAATAACGGATAAAAATATTGATTTATAAAAAGTTCTTTAAACTTTATTTGCAACTTTCAAAAAATACAAATACTGAAATATTTTAGTACTCGCTACTTAAGCATTAATCAATAATACAATGTAAATTCAATTTTCTCCCAATAATTAAAATACAAGAAATTAAGATCGTTTTATAATACCTCTTTACAGCATTAATTACTCAACGAAAATCAAAGTTAAAAATTATAAAATTTAAAATTTTGCAATTCAAAAATTCTGTGCAAACGTCGAGTTGGAAAATTATGCCTTGAACTTTGAATTTAGGACGAAAAAAAATTAAAAAGCGAAAATTGGAAACGTTATTGTTTAACAACTATAGCAGCAAATTAATGAAGATTTTGTGTGCTTCAGAAGCAGAACTTTTTGAAAAGAACAAATATTAATTAATTCTGAGATTTTTTTTACGAATTACAGTTCAGTAAGTTAATTGCATATTTATTTTTCTTTTCCAGCTTCATTTCATTTTTAGCTGTTTTAAGTAAGCGACATGCAAGCAAGTGACATGCAGCAATTCGTACAATCATCAAACTTAAAAATTTATAAAAAGCAGATTTCGGTAAAAACAAAAACAAACAAATGCAGTGCTATTAAATAAAAGGCACATGACTTTCTTGCTTTAAGAATTACAAGAACCAATGGAAATCTGTAAGAAAAAACATTTTTTAGTGATTTAGAGAAAGAAAGTTTAATAACATCTTCGTCCATCTGAAGGTGATTTGATATCTCCTTTAATAAACGAAATCAAAAAATATGCTTAATGAAATAGTTTTGTTTCAAATCAAAAACTGAGTTAAATTCAATAAAATTTTAAAAATAAGATTTAAAAAAAAAAGAAATTGAAAATCGAAAATAAAAACCTGAAAACTGAATGTTCGTCGCAGAAATCCCATTGGTTCCTTCTGGATTGATATAAATTGCTGACTTTTTGTTTCATAATCATCACTGTTGCCTGACCATTTATCCATTATGCGCTTTCCGATCATTCCAACACTAATATTTCGACAATTTTCATTCATTAGTAAACGATTTGTTTAGTGGTAAACATTATTGTTATTATTATTATTATTACTATCTATTACTGTTATTACTAATCACGCTTGTTATATCTTTATCATTTTATGATCTAAAATTTAGAATACTGATCCGGTTATTAATTAAAGACAAGTAAAAAAAAATAAATTGCAATAGTGACATTTATAAATCAGGGATTTTTGAAGGATGGGAAGAAAAACTGGTGATAATCTGTTTATTCGACCTGTATTATGATTGATTTGCTATGCTACCGATATATCATAGAAGGAAAAAACAAAATAAAAAGGAGTGATAGTAGGAATAGAATAATTATAAAAAGGTAATATTAAAGGTGATATAATAACAAAAATGCAATTGCAAGGAAGGAAAACAGCTAATCAAAAATTACTCAATAATTTGATGAAATGAAAAATAAACAATAAAATGGAAAAGATAGCAAAAACATTCATTCCTATGCGTCATCATTTCTTTCCTTTTCACTAAAATATATGTATCATCAGATTAAAATTAAGAAATTAAAAATAAAAATCGTTCTCTATTTAATCCTTCTGTCATCATAATTTAATGAAATGTATCGTTTTTTTCCGCACTGATTCAGAATATAAAACGGAATAAATCGTTAATTTCACTCCGGAGTAACTAATTAACTATCCAATTAACTAACAAATCGACTTAAGGCTCTTATAGTTTGATCATAAATAACAATAAGCATGGAATCCATTTACGAATGAAACAAAATCTTATAAATTTTCATCTAGAAATAGACCAGGTGAAGTTGAAATTTTATTCAACCGCTTGCTATCGTCTATTTTAACAGACAGTCCTATTGGCTATTCTCATCTTTTTTGCAAGTAAGAAATTATCCTACAGGAAATCCAAGATCTTGTTTACTTATGTTGTTTGTTTTAAAATTATCTATTACTAATCCATGTATTTTAAGATTATCTGTCACTGTGTGTATTATCTTAAAATTACCTGTAATTAGTCCACATTTCACAATACGCTTATTGCAGAAAGACTTATAGCAGTGAAAACTAATCAAAAAAAGAAATACTAATTTTAATAGCAAAAGAGGTGGTGAGCACAGTAAAAAATGATATGAGAGAGTGAAATTGTTGGAGTAGAATTGTCCCCATCTCTCTCTCTCTCTCTCTCTCTCTCTCTCTCTCTCTCTCTCTCTCTTTCCCAACCGGTTTAGTCACTACATTTTATTAAGAGTTAATGCAATAACTAAGACCTTCACATGTAATGACAATATCGATGAAAAAATTTAAAAAATTTTACTTAGTTTTATATTTATGCTCTCAGCATATTTCGACAATTTTTACTTCTATAGAAAGATTAAATAACAGAATTTGAGATATCATTAAGATTTGACAAAATGGAGCATAGTTATCTTAATTCAGAAGTGTCACCAATAAGTTCCTACGGGTCACAAAGTGAATTAGATGTTAGATCTGGCTATTCCAAGAGATGACCAGCTAATTTTATTTACAATGGACATTCAGTAGAACAATTATAAATATATGACAAAATTCAAATACAATTAATAAGAGATCAATAAAGATCAATAAAGAAATTTCGATCAATAAAGAAATATAAAGTCTTCGATAAATGGAAATGAGAAGATGAAATGAATAAGTTCCACAAAAAACTTTTTTTCATGTCAGCTAAAAAAGAGAAAATAAAAGGGAAAGAGAGCTTTGGGATTATAATAGGTTTATTCTATAACCTCTCGAACTATGTATAATAAATGATAAGAAACGATATTTCAGTTCTTATCATTTCGATCAATCTATTCTGTGATATTTAATATGAAATGTTAATAGCTTGTATCCAAGAAGATAAAGTTTCCAATGATAAATTCTAAGAAGCGTCAATTGGACAGCTATATTATTTCATTAGAATTTAAAATTGTCGGAGGATGTGCTGGTAGGAATATCAACTGGAAACGACTGTTACCGCAAAAAAAAAGATTATCCGGAAAGAATATATAACATGACATATTCTTGTCAGGAAAAAATGTCAAACGTGAACATAAAAAAGCGGAAAAAATCTAAAAAGAATTAACTTGAAGGCTGATAGTTCCAATCAGAAAACAAAAATTAACAAAAAAATTTATAAAAATGAGAAAAGGATGTGTGCGTAGAGAATTATGTGCTATGACTTGAAAGTCTCTAAATTACTGGTAATTCTGTGCCGGTCGTTGGACCGCGACGAATGAGTCCTCATCTTATATTAGAATGAACGGTAATCTCGTTACTTGTTTGAAATTTGCGGTAGTTAAGACAATTTCATAGTATTTATCCCTAGGAATTTCTCACATCATCTCGCTACGAAAACACTCATCCATGGGGAACATATCACCGGAAAGTAAAGAATGCGGTGGCAATTCGAATATTAACCAACTGTCATTTGTTTCCAACTTTCTCCGACATGTTCCTGTTTGGTATGGGTTCGTGGTTTCTGGACGGCTGTTTTTTTTCCTGGTGCTGCATAGTTGTTCCTTATAAATCTTTGTCGTCTGTCTGAAGTCTGCGCTATATTTACTCTCAGTAGTGGTGCATGGTTTCTTCTTCATACAAAATTTCTTATTCTTTAATTTTCTAAGTTGTACAAATATTTTTAGTTAATTTTTTAGTTCGACCTGTAATCTTTGAATTTTGTGAAAAGATTTTAGGTCGAACTAAATTATTTTAAGGAGGTGAATTATAATGCATTTAGATTATTAATTGAAAAAGTGCTTTTTTTTGTATAGTAAATGATAAGATATAACTTGTTTCCGTCGTATAACTTGTACTTATGATTTTCCATCAGCGTTGTAAATTACAAGCTTATCTTTATGTCTTGTTGTTTGAAGCATCAGTACCGTTCGTCGATTCCAAGACAAATGGATCATTCCGTGGAAAAAATACTTAGTGAGCAATTATTAAAAGTAGCAACAATAGCTGAGGAAGAAGTTGATCGTCAAATAGAAAAATATGATAATTTGGATGAAAATGATTTGGAAGTTATACGACGGAAACGTCTGCAGGAATTGAAAAAGAAGCAATTGCAAAAAAAGGCAAGCTTTTAAATGATAACGAGTATATTATTTTCCTTTCAACATTTCTGCGCTTGAAAAGAAAACATTTTTGGAATATTGATGATTATCTGTCAATTTACTATTCTCATTTCTTGTAAAAAAAATACTTCTCTTGATTCACTAATTTTGAGGAATTTTGAGGAATCTTTTTACATTTTAATCCTTGTCCTTCATTATTAATTGATCTTTCTTGTGCAAACTCATTCTTTTCTAGGAATGGTTTCAAAATGGTCACGGCGTATATGAGGAAATTCCGGATGAACGAAGTTTTTTCGACGCTACAAAAAAATCTGCTAAAGTCGTGTGTCATTTTTATTTACCTACTACTGAACGGTGTAAAATTATTGATAAGCATCTGAGAAAAATTGCTCCGAAATATCTGGAAACTCGATTCATTCATGCCAATGCCGAAAAGGTTAGGGATTTCGGTGGCTTTGTCAAAGTATCTTGCTATATTTCTAGAGCTAAATTTGTTCTGATATTTCTGTACAATTGCTGAATTCAAATATTATTAGTCTTCATTTGTTCCAGTTTACAAGAGTTTTAAGAGATGATAGGAGTGAGATTAAAACTAAATAAGATTTCAGTTCCCATTTCTTACTACACGACTCAAGATCCGCGTTATTCCAACAATAGTTGTAATAATTGATGCAAAGACTGTTGATTACATACGGGGATTTGATGATTTGGGTGGGAATGATGAATTCAGGACCGAAACGCTTGAATGGAGACTTTCGTGGTATTTTTATCAACTTTTTATTTACCTCATATTTATTTGTGTTTTTTTCCTGTTTTAAGTCTTTTATCACTTCATAGATAACGCTAAATTATGTCCACTTTGCAGGTCCAAAGTGCTGGAATACAACGGGCCTTCCTACTTACGTGGTTCTGGTAAGAGTGTTACAAAGTTGACCAAATTAGTTAAGAAAAGAGTGCAAGGAAATGAGGATGATGGTGACAATTTGTAGTGAATTTTTTCATGTTTTAAGGCGAAATTTTCTTTTGAAGTCAAAAAAGTTATAATAAGGTTTCCGTTAAATATACATTAAGCTGTTTTTCATTGTTATCAGAGAGCTCTATCGATTCGGCACTAAGTGAAGGAATTTTTTTCAAAATAAATATACCAACAGTAGGAAAAATGGCAAAAATGATGATATAATTAATGCCTTTAAGGAAACGAGATGAACAAAAAAATGCATTTTATGCAAAAAATATAAATGAAAAGTGAAGCAAGATCGTAAGAGAAGTTGACCAAAAGCGCATAAATTTTCTAAAGAAAAAAAGTTTTGCGATTAGAGCAACGTTGTTTCCCTAAGCAGTAGTTTAGAAAGTTTAATTGAAAAAATTGTTTTCGTTTGTATTCTCCGTTATTTATATCATCATCTGAAACTTCGAATTAGTGAAGTGCAAAATTTTCGAGAAACATGATTTTTTCTTTTGGTAATGCTCGTATGTCATTCGTTGTTTGTTTTTTGTTGCTTGGATAGCAGAGTTTATCTTACTGCGATCTGAATCGAACATTTGTTATACAATTGATAGATATATATATGTATATAATGTTCCAGGTTTTGTCCTAGGAACAGTTATAGTTATATATTATATCCTCTGTAATGAGGACTGCTGTAAACCATACAGTTCATATAAATGCAGAAGGTTCACTTTCAGCTTCCATTTACTTTCTGTAACCCTTTTCATAAATTTTTCCCAAACAACACATTAAAGTCATTTTCTCGTTGTCGCATATAAGAAGCTTCCTGAAATTCAAATACTCCTTGAATATCATTTCCAAATATTTCCTTCAAGTTCTTCGAATATTTTTTGATTTTTTGCTTTTTAAGCTTGTATGTTCGGAAATAAGGAACACTTCCAAAACAAACATCTTTCATATTATCGAATTCTTGCTCTAGTTTCTCGGACCAAACCGTTAAACATGCTAATGCGTTCAGGAAAATGAGTAGCTGGAGATATGCGTAGAGTGATGGTGTCGTATATGGATGATATCCATTGCCAGCATCTACACCCTGAAAATTTTTGTTTTGTTAAATTGAGCGCAGTAGAAATTAGAATTATGAATACAAATATTGGGTACTTTGTAATTCTGCAAATATCGTCAAGAATCGAACTATTTAAAAACAATTCTATTCGTCAAAAAAAGATAAAGATAGCGTGGAACGTACCTCGTATTTCATAAGTTATGATATTTCTGAGTAACGTTTTTTCTTAATTATATGCTGGATTCCTACATATAGTTATTTTCCCATATATAACAAGTCATAGAAGGCAAACCTGATGACTTTTAAGTTTAGTAGATCCAAAACGTGTTGCAGCAAAAGCCTGAGCTGTATAAACTGCATCATCTCGTTGGAGTTCAAAATATGGTCGTCCACACTGAACGATTACCAAAAATGAAATGAGAAGTATGAAATAAAGAGAAGGTTTGAGAACTTTGTCGATCAAAATGTAAGTTCAATCTTCAAAATCTCGAAGCTCACCGGTTTATTTTCTCCACCCAAACAGCGATATTCGTATTCGATGCGTAGCAAAGGACGCCTTTTTGTTTCGTGTCCATAACGACTTTTCAAATTTGGTGACAAAGCACAACGATTACGGAAATGACGTCCACTTTTTGAAACATTAATTTTTCTGTGTATTGAAGGAAAATAAAATTTAAATTTTCAAGCCTGGTTTTAGGGTATGCAAATTTCATGCTAATCTAGGTAGGAATCTATGAATTCATTGTTTTTTTTTTGTCTCACTTATCTTGAGTTTTAAAAAACAAAGCCTTTGATTCTGGATAGATTGCTTTAATTTGACCGCTGTCTGCATTGACTGCGTTAACGGAACCTTGCCGTATCTCAACAATCAAATTGTTAGGAAGAAGGGATTGCATTTCTGTCAAATCCATGTAAGCTTCTTCAGCCGCCTAAAAGTTTTTCGAGTCTTCTTTTTTCAGGAGGGGGAGAGTGAGAGTAAAGCAAATGAAGGATGAGTCAGGTTTTTCTGGTTTCTTGAATCCATTTGAAGTTTATGAATGGGAAATTGAGGTAGATTCAGTTTTTCTTAATGGACTTACATCTTGAATAAGAGGGTCACTTTTTCCGGCAACATTAACCACTAAATGGCAAATTTTTGGTGGACAGGACTGATCCATCAATCGTTCCAGCAATCGATTGGCCAAGATTTCAGCAAATGTATCAATGCGACTGAGGAATTAATTATTAACATGTCGTTTTACTAGAAACTTATAACTTTGCCTTACAGATCTTAATTCATTCTATTTTTCCTTTTTTGATTTTGTCCCCCTTTGTTTTAATATTCCAAAAAATTTTTCGCTAAGATTTTGAAAAGTATTTGTTGATAAGGTAGAAATCTTTCATTAAAAGATTAAAAGCGGAATGTAGCGATATAGCACTGTATCTTACGATCTATTAAAATAGTTGAAATTTGGAAGTAATATACCGACGAGGAATTGTTCCATACAAGAATGAAGCTAGGAAACCCACAGTTTGTTCAATTTCGACCAGCATTTCTAGAATTATGTTGGTCATTCCGTTTTAAGAGAAATGGAAATTAAAGGTATCAAGAAATTAAAGTATTAAAGGTAATTAAAGGTACCATTAACTAAGCATGAATAAGGAAGAAGTAAACGTGATCTACCGGCTTATGATCTTATACATCTATTTGCACTACAGATGTATTGTAACACTGACCGCTCACCACAAAAGTTCGTATGAAAACTGCTTGGAATAGCATTACTTCATCAAATATTATAGAATATGCAAATTCTTTAATTCAATGAATAAATGCGTTTATCACTTTTTGGATGAAGTTTTGGCATTTTAGAAGCGTTCTATGGCATTAGCCCTAATTATCAGATTTCTTGCTTCTTTGCTAGTAATTATTTAGTTGAATTTAAAAATAGTCTAGTTTATTCAGAAAATTCTTAAGAAATATTTTAGAAATTCGAAAATACTCTTCGCCAGCAAATTGAATTAATCCAAGGGTGCTTTTAATTTAACACACAATTCAATAAGTAAATTAAAGTATCAGGCAGTTTTCCTAAATTCATTCGAAGTCTTGAATTCGGGATTTACTTTTCCCCGGTTATCATGGAAAATTTATCACTAACAAATTAATTTCACCGGAGGGATATTCATAAGATCCTTCTAATTTATCAACCAAATTTCATGTAGCATTTTTCCGAAGCTAATTCTGCTCGTTTTTTTCCAATACTTTTTTCAAAACCTTCCGCATGATGATTTTTAACCTCTATTTCAATTTTTATCAATTAACATCCCAACTAATGCAGTGACAACTAAATAATTAACCTTTGCTAATACTTAAATTTTATAGTGATTCAAATTTCCTATCCAATTTCTAGCATCTGATAATGTTTTAAGCTTAATCTCGATAAAAATTCACTTACAAATATCCGCATCATCGTTAACCTATAAGGTTAATTTGATATTCTAATTTCCAAGAAATAAAATTGAATTAGAGGTTAAAACTTGGATTTGACAGAATTGAATTCTAAAATTAATACAACAATGGAATTCTAAAATCAATACAATCGTTAAAGTGGCATTGAAGTATTTTTGCTGATTTGTTAAAACAAATAAAATGACACATTAAATGAGATAGATCTGTACTTGATGTTTTTGCAAAACAACACATTAGCAAAACACTTTTATTAGGAGTTTTTAAATTTAGATAATATTATGCTTTCCAAAGAACTTTACTGAATTCATCAAAAAAATAACAGATCTTATTTTGCAACTTTCCTCAATGAAACGTATGTAAATGCGTGTTTGAGCGTAAACGACACCGATTAAACAGTGCAAGCTAACATACAATTTACCAATCCATTAAATAGAAATAATAAAAAACAACTAAAAAAAATAGTACACGTTAAAGAAACAAGAGTACTTTATCTAAACTGTTGCCACCACCACCACCACCACCACCGCAATAGTTATCTCTCCTTTTTTCCTCACACATTTCATTTTACCTTTTACGCTAAGTCTTTTCAGTCTACGAATCGTTTTTGCGTGAAACTTTAAAAAGTTTATTTGTCATAGTAAACAAACAATAAGAAGCATTTATAATTTGTGTTTATTGTTATAAAAAATTCAACAGTTAAATTGCGCAATTATCCAAATCATTTTATAAATGAATTTTTGTTGGATTGAAAATCCCTTTAGCTTTTATTTGTTTGTTTGTTACAAAGGAAATTGAAATTTCCCAATTTCTACAATTGCCAAAACTAATTATATAATTATATAATTTCCAATCGATTTCGTAATTAATGTTTAAAAGTAAAGTTGTACAGCAACGACAAAAAAAATGCAAAAATAAAAAAAGCAATGCAAAATTATTTGAGGACTAGAAAAATCACTTTATGTTTCTAAAGATGTGTATTTGAGCTCTGTCACATCGTTTTTTTTAATTAGCTTCTTATCTTCTAAATTAGTTAGGAAGTAAATTAAAATCATTCATCGGAACTGTTGCTAGAAAAAGGATTTGAAAAAGAATCTCTTCCACAGAATGGAAAAGAGGAATGACGGCAAATTGTATTAAAGTGTAAGAACTAGTGAAAGTATACTCGAGTCAAGGCAGGAGTTATTCTTAACAATCTAAATATTAATTAATAATTTTACATTGATTATTTTCCACGGATAACCACATGCAATAAATACGGTTGCACTCGATATATATATATTGCAATGAAAGTAGAAAAATCGAATTTAAGCGAATGTGATTTTCAGCGATTAAAATGATGGAAATTACACCGCAAAAAATCATATGCATGAGCATACTACAATATCGAATATCAGCACAATATGTGAAGCGTAAGCATACTCGATGTTGACAAAACTCTAAGTATATAAATACAAATATTACCATCAATATTCACTGAACTTGAAAATATTTCAATAGAGAATAACAAAAAAAAAAACCTAAACTTCCAAAATTTTAAAATCTTTCTGCGAAATTACCCGTAAACTATAATGTCGAATATTAATTATTAACACAATATGTCAAGCGTAAGCGTACTCGACGTAAGTGGAAATTTTAACAAAACTCTAAGTGTACAGGTACAAGTATTATCATAATTATTCATTGAATAAAAAAAAAATATCTGCCAAATACATTTCTGATATTACTCTTGCCAAAACCACAAAATATCAATGATAAATATTAAAAGTAATCTGCAAAAAAAATGAAATCAAAGATTTTTCCATTTTTTAGGCAAGCGTTTTGATTGGAGAATAACATTTCAACTCATCCCAAAAGAAATGCTTAAAGAATATAAAAGAAGAGGAGGCAATGAATTTTAATGAATAACATTTTGACTAACAGAACTGAACAAAGCTAGCAAATTCATTTTAATTTACAAAAGAATTTTGACAATTATTCTCTTAAAAGATTGACAAAAAATTTAATGGTAAAATCTGGAACAAACTCCAAGTCTTGGAATCTGTTGATCGACGCATTACTTGTTATTATATGAAAGTGCACTAAAAATGATCCGAAATTTGTAATGAAATTCACTGATCATTTAAGGACCCAGAATACCAAGTAATTCTCCCATATCTAGATATCTCGGTTACTGGGTGCAATATTTTCAATGCAATGTTGGTCTTTCATGTTTTGCTTCAATCCTTTCTTTGAAATCCTTCAAACAAAGTCAAGAATAAATAATTAAATAAAAGGCAAAATTTTGACTTGTGCAACCCATCAGTTTACTTAATTTTTTTCTTCTCTAACATATAATAACAAACTGAAACAAGCAAATATATTTCCGTTTAGAAAAGCAAATCATATCCTGCAGTGCTTCTGCAAAAATAGATATCCTGTCTTGACAAACTATTAACTGAATCCATCAGTAGTAAAACTATATTAACTGTTCAATTCGATTTGGATTCAGTTAATAAAACTGTTCAATTCGATTTGGATTCAGTTAATAAAACTGTTCAATTCGGATTCAGTTAATAAAACTGTTCAATTCGTAATTTTTTTGTCATGAAAATAAAACGATGGAGTTGAATGGGATGATGAATCGGTAGTTGTACATGTTGTGGTGCTCGGTGTTACGATCATTGTGTTAGACACAACAAAGAGATCAGGCTTACTGTTATGGCATACGACTCCGGGACCACCAAGAGGGGGTTGCCATAATTCGTAATCCAACTTTGTCAGCTCATCTTTGATCATCGATAACACAGTTGCTGACGTATCTGTAAATAAAGATAATTAAAACACTGAAAAATAAGTATAATGCAGACCTAAAGAGACAAAATTTAATGGATAATCAATCGCTAGCTAATTCGATCATCAGTTCCGGTTCATAAGCTTGATTATTATATTTTATGATTATTATAAATCATAAAATAAAAATGAAGTATTGCGAAAACAAAGGAAAGAATAACTAAGAACATAATTATAAAGAACAAGAGAGAAAAGCATTATTTTCAATACATTTTTTTCAAAATATGATGTTGTACATTATTTTTCACAATTTTTGCTTGTAATATCCAATATTGAAATAGTTGTTCAATTGCTTTATTTCTTTCCCTTATCATATAGTTTGAAAAACTGATGACATATCTTCTTGCTTTAATTAATACTTTACGTCGTATTGGATGGTAAATTTACGAAGAATTCATTTCGTACTGAAAACAATATAAATAAATTTTGTGGTACCTGGTTTTAAGAAAGCAAAAACACTTCCACCACCACCGGCACCAGTCATTTTTGGATGTATTCCATACCGTGCAAGTAATGTACAAATTTGATCGATTTTCGGATGACCAACACCCAATGCGATCAGTAACTGATTATTTATTCGACATAAATCCTGAAATAATATGTGAAGAATTATAAAAGGCATTGAAAACTTCGCTAACCATTACTTCGAAAAATCAATAATTTGCATAGGTTATGAAGGATTGATATATGCGTAATGAAAAAATAAAAACTTCTTTGTTGAAAAAGGATATCATGCTAAAATGAGAATGTTAATTTTCCCTTCGTGTTCCTATTCTTGTCAATGGTATATAAATTATAGTAAAGAATTTTTGTGATTCAATAGGTGAAAGGAAAAATCTTGAAGATAGTCATGGAATGTGTTTCCAACACGATTTCGACATGCACTTTTTTGAACAGGAGCGGCACACAATCAAGTGTTAAGGTTAGAGAAGCACCAAAACAAAGGAAAAACTGAACTAAATTTCGCCAGAACTTATGAAATGATAGAAATGGACAAATGGACGATTACTAAGAAATGCTTAATCTTTTTAAATACGTGGCCCAAACTAAGATAGTTAAGTCAAAGAGAGAAAAAGTGCTCATATGAGGAGGAAGAAAAAGGGAATCAAAGACAGTACTGAACATCGAAATTTAAATTTTAAAAGATGATTCTTTTTCCGTACAGCTTACATTGAGCTTAGAAAAGGAATCGACAAGTTGTCCTCGTTCATGTTTCTCCGAATTAGCTCCCGAAATACCACTAGCTGCGGAAGCGTTACTATTACGTTTACCACCAGCGGCATAAGAGTTTTCTCCCGGTAAATGTACTCCACTACTCGGCTGTTGCTGAGAATGTCCACTGGACTGCAAAATTCACAGAAACACTAATTTAGACCTTCCAAAAAAAAATTGAGAGAAATTAAACAAGGTAAAATGAAATTATCATATGAACATATCGTCCATCGTCATGATTATCACAATAATCAATGAGTTGAAACAAAATAACCAAAAATGAGATAATGAGAATGAGTAAATAACAACTTCCAAATCTCTTTTTTGAAATTATTTAAGCTTCAAGTCAATAAAATTAAAAAATTTAATTCCAAACTTTCTTCAGTCCACATTTTAATTATTTTGTTAAACAGCAAGTTTAGAATTAAAAAAAAAACATAGCAGTTGTTGATCCTACAACATATGAAAACACAAAGATGTGACAGAATCATGCCAATCTCTCAAACATGTATTTTTCGTTCAACGAACCGAACAAATCACCTTTAAATTCATCAGATACTAAACAACTGATCGATGAAACAATGTTAAACTATATTCTTTACTAAATCAAACCTGTAAAAGTCCAAAAGTACAAATATTTTTGAAGCCCCGAGGTGTAAACTTGGAAAATATAGATGCATGGTTATCGCTTCTAGTTACAGTGACGAACACTGAATAAGTTATATGACGGAGGTGCGAAAGAATGTCAAAAATCTAGCTGAAGCTCACAAAAATTAACAAGCGTAAAACATGCATGTTTTTATCCATAATCAACCGTATTGATTGCAAAATTTAAGTTCCTCATTCTTTAAACTAAAATTCGAACTTTCTGATTGCTCATTTCGATTACCTTCTATTTCAGTACTCATCGCTCAAACCAGACAATTTTATCAGAACTTATTGCAAGGAACGCTTCATTGACACTAATAGCCGTACTTGTGGTTTTGAACAAAAGGCCTGAAATCCAAAACCTTAATCTTAATGCATTCGGAAAGAGTACAGAAATGCTAGAGATAACTAACAAAAATGTTGTGTGGCACCGGTGTTAACTCTCATCACCAAATGGCCTTTTGATTAATTCGTTTCACCTACAACAATAGTAACTATGACATTATGGCAGCTGCAAACAGAGCCAACATAAAGACACTGATCTAAATTGAAATCTAAATAAATTGAAAACAAAAGTGTTTGTAATAAAATTTCATTCAGCTATTAAATTTCATACGAAATTAATCATCTTCATGAAGTTTGTCCCTGCAGACTCATTTCTTTGAAGAAAAATATATATTTCGCTGAAAGATATCACATACAGTAATTTCTGCTTTTCATCTGAACTAATTTCAGCATGACTTTCCTCTTTACTATCGAGTTCAGATAATAATTTAATTCCAAACTTGAATTTTTAGTATAAGTTTGACAATCACAGAAATATAATATATTATAATTTTCCTAGATGAAAGCGAAAGATTACCAAACGCACGAGAGCAGTTGGAAATAGACTGACAATGGTTCTAAGGCTGTCGTTAATCGTTGTTGCGAAAAAAAGTACTAAACTACTAGGTGCATATCGAAGATTGACTTACAAACGATAATTTTAGCTCATGTCAGTGTGTGCCTGTAGACAAAACATGCTGATCAGTTATAAAATGCATTTCAAAAAACTGTATTTCATTTTATTCTTTCTTTCCTATTAAAACATGCAAAACAGAATTGATTGCAAAAATATTCATCAAAAAAAAAAATTTTAATCTAATTTCAAATACAAGATTCAGTTAAGGCATTGATTTGTTATAGCTGGCACTTTGTTAGTCCAAGATGCTAAATTACTACCTTAATGAATATCAACAAGTACCAATACTCCAGTTCCATTTTAATAGATGTCAATTGGCAGCATCAGAGTGACACCTACCTGTATTTCGAATCAATAGAAAACAACTGATAAGTTTAACCTTATCAATAATATGACTTATTTAGAATTATTGATGGGATAATTATTTGTCATAATTGAATATAACAAGTATTCTTAATGAAAGACAAGAAAAGAAGAAAACTACCTGTAAAAATTGATGATCGCCATCAACGCAAGCCGAACCAGCCGAGTTATTGCTATTGCCACTATTTGACACCTCATCATTACCGCCATTTTCTTCCGGTGGTCGATGCAGAATTCTTGCTGCATCACGTGAAATTGCATCGATAGCATTGAAAATTGATTCAACAACATCCGGAAACTAAAATCAGCTTTTCTCATTTTAAGGACAATTTCTTTGATAACGAATGAATTTTAAGAAAGAAAGTGGGAACGAAATTTAAAAAATATTATATCCCAAAATTATCACAAACTCTGGTTAAAAAAAGATCTATTGCGCTTTCTCACATATTTAACTGCTACGACGAAAAAAATACATGAAAAATATATGCCATAATTGATTAGCAATACTTTCAAATTAGCTTTCTCAACTAGTACTGAAATCGTTTCCATAAAAATTTCAAGATTCTTTACTTTCTTCAACCGCTCTTTTACTGTTTGTACCATCCGTGAAGTGTTTCTTTCAACTTTCGAATTAACCAATATTACCCTGAGATCGGGGAGACTGAAAACACTGCGATTTACTTTTTTTATATCAGCAGAACCAAAATGCATTGGAACACAATTAACCTGTTGAAGATCTGAAGATTATCTTTTTGAAAATGGAAAAAACATTAGAAATGAATGAAAGTGATGGTGCGACATATAGGTAAATAAATAGGTAATTATTTTGAAAAAAAAAACATGTCAGAAATTCAAGATTATAGGTGAAAGAAAAAAGTCTGGCGAAAAAATGAAAACTTGCTTTCTTAAGTGTTGAATGCACGTTCCGGGTTTGAAACATGCAACACCACCTGAAAAAAACAGATAATTATTTAAAAAATTTAAAAACTGAAAGATATGGTTTCTAGTCCCTAAAAACAGTGTCAATACAGTAAAAATCCAATTTCTAAATTCTAAAAGCTCCGCAAAAGTAAAGTTATAAGTTTATAGCGAGACGCAGTAACGAATATGTCTTCGAATTTCGACCGTAACATAAATGCATAAAACAGAGAAGAAAAAACAAACCATAAGTACAAACGGCCGCATCAAGTCCAGAGGCTCGTCCATGTATTAGTGACTCAGCTGCAGCTGACCACTTCCTGATCATGTCTAAGTGATGGTCTTCCCATGTCAATGATCCTTCGTCATTCACCTGTATAGATCGAGTATTAACAAATTTCATAAATTTTATAAACAACTAAGCTAAATTGCAGTTCAAATTAACCAATGCTTTTTCAAAATAAATTCCAAAACAGTTTGACTCCCTTTCACCAATTATGAAATACACAAAACAATGTTCGAGACAAGAATAAGCAAAAATTTTCACTGCAAAGTTATGAGGGAGCATCAATGCTTTCTACACTAAAAGCCGTGAACACTCATTTCACAATTTAATTTAAGTTTAATTTAATTTAATTACAATTTGATTTAAGCTTTCCTGCGAGATTCAAATGTTTCCTTATCGTTTGAATGAGAGGAAATAATTTGTCAACTACTACAATTATCAATAGATTTTCATTCATTCAATTCATTTTTCTCAATAAGTTATTCTATCACAATATATCTTAAAATATTCCGAAAACAATTGGTAAGATAATACCAACCTTATGAGATATATAGCAATTATTTCACATGGCACTTAAAACTGGAACACTTCTTACTATATTACTGTATGTAGTACGGATAATCGATTGCTACAGTTTAAAGAATTATTTTCAAAGATAAAATGCAATAAGAGAAAGAAATAATGAAAACATAAAAATCAAACATTTACAGGAATTGATGGGGCAGGAATCAAGCCAGCTGTCTGCAAAAGGGCCGCTGCAACGCAAACACAGTATGCTCCTGAACACGGATTTGTATCAAATTTTCCATAGAGGAAATGAATTGAATTCAATGAAAAATTTTTTTGAGTGAAATTAGTTCCAATACTGTGACAAAAGGATGATATTTTATTTCATTCTCAATATTACCTGACGAACCGAGACCAACACAAGAAGGAAGTTTGAAGCGTATGGTAACTTTTACAGCGAGTATATTCCTGAAACACCTAATCGACATTTAGTGAAATCGTTTGTAATATACGTATTAGATCAGATAACAACAAAACAATGGTCCATTAATGTGCAAAATTGCTTAAAAAGTGCTACTAGAAAACAAAAGTTTTAGATATATGGAATATTTGAATAACGTATCACATCGACAAATCAAATTCTTTAATTTAAGGACAAACTTTTTTCGTTGCACTACACCGAGGAGAAGATACCAGAAGGCTAATATTGCTAGATGCTGTACACCGCATTGGTCCTCATAAGATCCGCTCAGTTTTCGGGCTATAGGCACAAGTAATTCGAGGGATGGTGGCAATCCGTCATCAACAGTGTATTCTAAAAGTAAAATTAAAAAAAAAAAACAAATTAAACTGGTACAGATGTATTTTTAATCAATTACAAAGTAAAAAGAAATTAGCACAATTTGATAGTTTCTTCCCCAAATAATCAAGACTATAAAAAGTACATGCAGTTAATATGAAAAAAATTCAAAACTTTCCGAAAAACGCATCGCTTTTCCCTTTTCTTCTCAAAAACGATCTATTTAAAAATATCATAAATATCCAAATTTTTTTAATCAGATATGAACTTGTAATTGTACATTAAATAATTAAAGTTATTCACATTTAATTATTTTCTATAAAATTGCTAATTCAATTTACTTTTACGACACAGAAGGAAGAAATGAAAAAACTAACCAGAAAGACGTTCTCCAGCTCTCAAAAGATCCTTTAGTAACCAGGTTCTTTCAACACCGAGAGCAGGTAACGACAAATATATCCTGCCATCGGCCGAAGTGAATAAGCTAACATAAGTTCGCAAATCTATAGAGCCAGCAACTGCTGTCTGTAACAAAAATGTAAATTGCAATAATCTTTTCAGTCAATATTTCACAAGCAAAAAAATTATTTTCACAAATCATTTCAAATAGGATTTTCAACCTATGACACAAACAGATACAGATAATCACGCAACAAATGAGCATAAATCTGCATATTATTGACTAAAAGTTCAACACCAAATACAGTGAATAAATACTAATCTCAGCATTATATATTTTCACTTATACAGATATTATATTTATACAGATATTTTCACTTATTAGTATTTAAGACTGTCCAAATGTCGGTATATTATTACTGCATAGAATAAGAACAAAATTTAGACTTTCATGTCTCCTTCTTAAGCTTTCGAAATTATGATGACAAATTTCACACAACGCTTACCTTCAAGTAAAAATTGGAAAGTGAGAGAAAAAGTAAAATGAAACAAACCCGTCCATAGACAACAGCGTGTTCACCAAATAAAATAATCTTCCCGGGAGCACTTATATATAATCCACCAGATGAATTCGATAAAGATCGCATTGGCGATGTGTGCGTGCTACTGTTGGCCGTCAAAGGACGGGACGATGATGCCGGCGAATCGTGAACTAAACATTTAAAAAATTAAGAACAAAATTTAGATTTTTGAATTTTGCATCTTTTTCTTTTCTTACAATGTTAAAAATAATTCGAATATTTTCGAACAAAATGTTTTTAATGTATCCAAAGATGTGTAAAAAATTAAAAATAACAATATACTAAATTAAAAATAGTTTTATTAATCATTAAAAAAAAAGAGTATTGATGAATTCAGAGAGAGTAAAAAATCAATAATTAAGATTTTTCAACCTATTAAATAATATTTTCTGCAAATATAAAAAAACAAAGCGTAAATTTGATTGCAAGAAAAGAGATTCCACCACTATCATCATATAAATGAAAGGGAAGTTTAATAGTGGTTCGAAGTTTAAAGTGAATGCAAATGCCGTGTCAGTGGTGATGGTCTTCCGTGACAACTGAGTGAGACATCCATAAGATAGGCAAACATTGTAGTAGTAAACTTTGATCTTCTTATAATCAGTAGTTATCAGCAGATTAGCTTGTAACAACAGTGATTTTTATGACTTGACCTCAAAATTCAAGAGAGAAGAGATGGATGGGTGAAAAAAGAATGACTTATTAACAATGTTTATGTAACTTAGAAAAGAGCAAAACCACATGTGTTCTTATTAGCTTATAACTTAACCTCTTCAGAATGGCGAAAAATGTTTACTTAAGGCAAAGTAAAGCAATTTTTCTCATAAAAACCATTATTTCTATATATAAACTTCCTAACTCTAACAAATATAAAACATTATGTAACGTAACGTAACGTAATCAAAATATAACTTAATGTAATGAGAATATAACGTAAAGTAACATAATTAGAAATGATGCATTCAACGTAGCCAGACGATATCAAGTTCAATTTCTGTGTTCACTCTCAAACATATAAGTTGTTTGCTTGAAAGTCTTAATAGAACGATATGCAAGGCTTTTCGAAAGAAAGAAAAAACAGAAAGAAGAGAATGGTAAATAACAGTAGTAATAATGATTCACATACATAAATATCTACCAATGATAATCGATAATTTATACAACATTGTTGTATGACATACAAATTTCAAACTAATTTTATTTTCTTCCATTTTAGAATTTATCTAATGATATCGATGTTTTGGCAAAAAATTTTTGTTTAATTAGTAAAATAATACTTTCCAAGAGTTTAAACCTTTTTTTTGTTGTTTCTTAAAGAATGAAATTAATTTAATATAATCTCTGTTAAGTGAAATTTAACGATTCCAAAAGTTTAACTGTCATTAATAAGCATTGTGAAGAGAGAACAAATTCAACTACTACTTATAATTTCAATTAATTAATGTAAGGTTACATCGAAACAAATAAAGAATAACCAAAATGGAATATGTTAAAGTATATAATGAGAAGAAGTACTTAAGTACATCTCAAATATATAATCAATAAAATAAGGCTTAATTCCTTACTCCTACTTAAGTACTTCCTTTATAAGAAAAAAATTGAATTTAAAAAAAGAAAAAAATGAAGTTAAGAAATAGCTAGCATAATAAAGCGAAAAGTGCTAAACTTGCATAATATATAATATGATATTAGGAGATTGGAAAAGTTACAACAAGGAGAAATTTGAAGTATAATAACAATATGTATATATATATACTCTCATATATGTTGTATATACTTATCGATACTATCGCCCACCATTCGATCTGTTCATTAACTTTATCAACATTTTGCGATTTATTTCGCCTATACCTGAATTTCGGGATATTACAAACACTATGGAAATTCAGAAGAAATTAACTGACATGCGACAAAAAAAAAGAAGAGAAAACGATGAAGAACAGAATTAATGAAACCGGAACCGATAAATTGATCGAATAAAAATAGATATTACAATAAGGTATAGTTAAAAAGATTAATAAATCATATACAAATTAAATCAATGATATTATCGAATGAAAGAAAAGGAACAAATAGTTATCAAAGGTCAATTTGGAAAACTTCTCAATTAACTTATTTAATATTATCAATCATTATATAAACAAAGAATATATAAGTGAAATTACTTCCAAAACTTACTTAAATTGTTTTAATTGAAAAAAAAAAGAAATCCGAAATTACGTACAAAATTCGAGATAGGAAGAATTGTCTTCCAATGATGATGTCGTAATAATAGAAGCTGTCGAATTAGGAGGCTGTTGTCCACGTTCCCCTCCTTCCATTATAATAATTTGGCGGTATTTGTTGTTCTCTTGTTATATTGTTGATGCTATGTTATTCTATCCTATCCTATTCTATCCTGTCCTGTCCTGTCCTGTCCTGTCCTGTTCTGTCCTGTTCTGTCCTGTCCTGTCCTGTTCTGTTCTGTTCTGTTCTGCTCTGTTCTGTTCTGTTCTGTTCTGTTCTGTTCTGTTCTGTTCTGTTCTTTCCTGTCCTGTCCTGTCCTGTCCTGTTCTGTTCTGTTCTATTCTATTCTGTTCTGTCTTTTATGCTATTATTGTTTTTTTTTGAAATATTAGCGTCACTGCAATACAATCATTGCTACGGATATCAAATGCTAATAGATCAATTTTTCAGCTGTCAATGATGATCGGGAACAAAAAAGAGTGGTGCAAGAGAGAGAGAAAGAGTAATTGCTAATCGATCGATCATTTCAATTCTCATTTTAAGGCTGCTAAATAAATCAATCATATTTCTCATCACTGATATGATATGTAAATCTGTTTTCGTAATATAGCATAATTTTTATTGACTTATTTTGAAACAAACAATCTGATAAAAGCCAATTGCTATCAAGCAGAGAGGAAAAGACAACCGGCAAAACGCGTTCGTCCAAATCATTGCTTCTGTTCCAATGTGCTAAACATTCATTCACAAATACATACGCAACACATACACACATACACAGACTAATATTGGTGTACACACACACACACACACACACACACACACATACACACAACCAGTCGTACATTTAATGTTTTTATTCTGCTGGAAGCCTAGAAATGAGAGGCGGCTATACTTTATTATCCTTTATTGGAATTTTTTTTTGAAGTTTAACTATCTCATTAAAAACGGGCCTTAAAATGATTTGCAATTGTTTACATGCATCAGTGCTCCAATCCTATTACACTAACTCATCTCATTTGCCATAATTCATTAATGAGCAAGGCTTTTTTTGGTGTAATTTTATTTTTGCAATAGATTATCCTATCTCTAATTCAATTAACAACTCAGTAACTATACGTTTCACGTTTAATTATACGGAAGTAAATAACGTGACTATCATTTCAAGAAAATACTGAATGAATATAATAAATTAATTTATACTTTCTTCAAAAAGTCAATCAAGAAAGAGAGGAGAGGAGAGGAGAGAAGAGGAAAGTAGAGGAGAGGGAAAAGAGAGGAAAGACGTAATTGGAGGTTGTATTAGAAGTGGATGATGTCGTTGGACAAATTGATTTTAATATTGGAAAAAGTGTTTTTATCAGAAAATAAATGCAAAGCAATTTGCATTTACTTTTTCAGATATTCTCCGTCAATTTCAGATTACACAAAATTATTGCCTCTTTCAAGAAGAAGAAGAAGATAATAATCATAAGATAATTTCAACACCTATAATTATAATAACGGAATGTGACATTTCACCTTTTTTTTAGGCTTCCTATTAAAATTAAGCCTTAATTCATAGTTTAATCGATAAATTATCATTTTTACAATTGTAATTATAAACAGTGTAAATAAATATTTTATAAAGATTATTTTAAATTGTAAAAACAATTAGGCTAAAATATTTCCTTATTAATAATTTGAAGTATATATGATAATAATTATCAGTGAATATTAGCAAATGCTTCATTAATTACAACAAATAGGAAAGTGATAATTATCATAATAGACAAAAGGAAGCAATTGATAATAACGCTTTATCATTATTACTGCTTGAGCAACATTCCTTCGAAAAATTCATTCCAGTTAACTTAATATATATATATATATATATCAAGTGATTTTTAGAGAATGTTAGATGAGAAAAAAAGAAAGTTGAAAGAGAGGGAGAAAGAATAATAGAAACATTACGAGAGGGAGAGAGAGAATAGCCTATTGAAGCAACAAATTTCAAATCTTAAAGCTATCCATCCTATTAACATCTTTTGCTTTTACTACTACTAGATATATCCCTCGTAATATTTAATGCTTTCTTGAGATTTTTGAAATGAAGAAAAACTATATAAATTAAATAGGAGGAAAAAGAGGGAAAAAAGGAAAAGAGAAATGAAAAAGAAGAGAAATGAATTGCAAGAAAATTTTTGTTATATTTATTGGCCATTAGGCATGCGAGCAGAAGATGTAGCTAAAATAGGACAAAGTCAGCGGTATGGAAATGAATGAATTATTATGTTACCGTTTCATTTTGATTTCAACGAAAAATGCTTCTTCCATTCCATTTATAATTTCACTCACTCTCTCTCCCTCTCTCTTTCTTTATAATAATTGAAATTCACATTAAACGTTTTATATTTCGTGTACTTTGATGACCATTTGGAAGAGAAAAGAGAGATTATTGAAGAGAGGAGAGAGAGAGAAAGAGAGAGAGAGATTGAGAGAATAAAACAAAATTAAGTAAAAAGTGAATTGAAATAAAAATTTCAAAATATTTATCAAATTAATAAATTTATTTCAATAAAACAATTGAGTTATAATTTAAATTTCATTCCATTTGATGCATTTGCATAATTAATAATAACGGTAATTAATTAATTGATATTTATGCCATGAAATTTCAGTAATTGTTAGGATTGATTTTTGTTTTACTTCTTGATAAATGTACTCTTCTAAGCTTCACTTTTCATTAAGCTCATTTACTATATATTGGAGCAGGAGCAGGTGAAAAGTGTTTAGCCTTACTGTAAGAAATCTTTTTGTTTTATTCATTTCGTTTAATAGCTTCAAAATATTCTCAAAATTATTATTCATTCTAATAAACTCAGTGAGAGAATTTTTGAATAAAATCAAATTTGTTATGAAAATTTTCAAAAAATATTTCGAATTATTTTTCTTCCTTTTTCATTTACTAATGGAAACAAAAGCAAAGGTAAGTTAAAGTTCCCAAATGTTTTTTTCATATCATTGGTATATCACTTCATATCATTGATATATCACTTCATAACAGTGGTATATCACTTCATATCATTGATATATCACTTCATAACAGTGGTATATCACTTCATATCATTGATATATCACTTCATAACAGTGGTATATCACTTCATATCATTGATATATCACTTCATAACAGTGGTATATCACTTCATATCATTGATATATCACTTCATAACAGTGGTATATCACTTCATATCATTGATATATCACGCTCCATCTAATTTCATTTGTTTCGGGTGAAATTAAATTTTACAGCATAAAATGAATAAGAAAATGAAAGAAAAAAAGAAACTGCAAGAATTATGATATATTCGACATGAAATTTAAAAGGTATAGAAATATTTTCATAACGAGAAATTTTTGAACAATGTGAAGTCATTTTAAAAATTCACCAGTCAGCTTGTAATTGAAAAAAAACCGTTAGTATGATGACAATTGTGGAACGACAATATCCCGCATTCAACGGGGATCGCGATAGAGATGTAATTCTAAGATCAGAAATGCTTCTCTTAAAACAAAAACAGAAAACCATTATAGTTATAATATAAAATAGAAGCATATAGAAGACATAAAAGGTAAAAATTAAGTTTAAGTGTGAGTACCAATGCAATTTTTTTGTTTTCAAAATTTCATAGTTTCTTTACGATAAGTTTTTTTGCATTAAAATGAAAGCGATAAATTTATCTGTTCAAAATTAACCAAAATATGGAAATTTTAAATTTGAAATCAATAACTGATTCATTGAGAATTTTACTGAGATATTTTGTTAATCTTTTAATAAATAAAGGACGACGCTCAATGAAAAGGATATGCAAGTCGTGCAGAAAATATTGACAAAAAATTCATTTGTTATTCATTTGTATTGAAACTTAAATTTGAAATTAAAAAATGTTTTTTATCATTAATAAAGAAAGAAATATTATCAACCGAAAAAGAAATATCAACCTCCGGAACATCGGGGCAATACCATATTCAGTATGCTTGCTTGTAATGAAATTCTGTTAATGTAGTAGTAGATAGAATCGAATTGTCGATGAAAATGATGAAGAAATGACTGCAAATTCGAAATGTAATAAATTCCGAAGAAGATTCATTGACTCTTCAGTTTTTGATATTATCAATGAGATAAATCCAGAATTCTGGATTTAGATTAATTAAAAAGGACTATGCCTTTTTTTTGATTTGAATGAAGAAGAACAATAAATATAATGATTATTTATTGATCGTAATTGATAATAAGTTGATTGCTTTCTTTATACTTTCAATTTTAGCTGATCTGAAATTCAATTAATTTAGTTAGTCCAATCAAATCATGATCATATGATAGCACTAAAGTCGTTATCATCAATAATTGTTATCATCAAGTTGATCCTACACATTTTCACTTTGACATCATCAAAGTGTTCGTTATTTTTAAAGAATATTATTCCCTCACGCTGTAATACAGTCAGGTGAAGCGGAATTTTTAAAATAACCCTCTAAATTCATTTTAATGGACTCTTAAACCTAAATTATACATATTAAAGGAATGGGCTGTATATTTTACATATATATCTACATTGTAGTTGAATTTAAAAACTTCACTGATGTGTCTTTCAAATATTCTTGTAAGATTAACACAATAGTTATAAGTGCAGGAATTACTATAACTGATGCTAAAGATTATTTGAAATGATTATAACGAATATATTACATAATAATTTTGCAATGACAAAAGGTTAGAAAAATGATGACTAATGTTATCATATGAATATTACATAGTAAATTATAGTAATAAGCAATAAATAATACAATTATAATAATAAGTGGTTAAATAAAGATAATAAATAGTAAGTAATTAAATTGCAGCAATAAATAATAGTAATTATGTTAAAGTAATAAATAATAAGTAATCAAATTACAGCAATAAATAATAAGTAATTAAATTATAGTAATAAATAATAAATAATTAAATTATAGTAATAAATAATAAGCAATTAATTAAATTATAGCAATAAGTAATAAATAATTAAATTATAGTAATAAGTAATTATAATGAAAAAAAGGTTAGAAAATGATA